TCTGATTCAATATTTTCCTTTTTCATTACCTCTGCAAATTTTCCACCAGTATATTCTGTACCTCTATCGGATCGAATATAGCACACTTTCGCATCTGTACCTAGAAGATTTCGAGCTGATACCAAATAATTCTCAAGAGCTTGACCTGTTTCATCTTTTGATTTTAGACAGTATATTCTGGCATAACGAGAATAATCGTCTACGAATGTCGCAATAAACCTCTTTTGACCAGGCCATGAAGTGGGTTTGATTGGTCCCATTAAATCTGAATGAATCATTTGTAACGGTCTCTCTGCTCGACTTCTATTTTGTTTGAATGGAAGTTTTTCCATTTTAGACAATATACAAACTTCACAATCTCTAATTGTCTCATCAAAGTTTACATTTTGTAAAACTTTCTCGTGCTTTTGTAACTTTCTTAAATAGTTTAGAGATGCATGACCCAATCTGATATGCCATAACATCGCTTCACTTAATTTTGAATCTGATTTTGAGACTTCCGTTGGATTTTTAGTTATTAACTCTTGTACACTCTCAATACTATTTAAATCGTCTATTTTGATTGTTTTAAGGAATGTCAGATTGGAATCGCATTCACCAAATATAAACTCTGAATTTAAAGTTTGAGTACTTGACACAATGGGTTCTTCTAAATTCTCCCTCCCAATCACAGACTCTTCGGTAAACTCTGAATCAGCTCCCTTCGAAACTGAGGGTTGCTTATTTTCAACACTAGTCTGTGATTGTTCTGAAAACTCATTGTTTGTTGCCATACACGCAATACAACTATAATCATCGTACTCATACTCATTACTCTGAATTTCATTATGTGACTTTTTAACTTGAAATCTTACTATCCAATTAGGTTTTTCGTATATTCCTTCAAATATTGTTTTATTATTTTCTTTGTTATAAACTCTGAAAATTTTATCATCCAAATGTATACTAAGTCCTGCATCAACTAATTTACGCAATGACAATAAATTTTCTGAAATGTCTTTAGCTGCAATTACATTCGTTAACTTGATAATGTTGACGTTTGAATTATTTTTAATCAACAGATTACCTCTACCATCAATTACTATGTCAGCAAAATCATTTTTGTTTGCGCTTTTAATAACACCCTTATTAGAAATTTTAAAATCACTTAATATAAAACTTTTATTTACAATGTGTTCAGTTGCTCCTGAATCTGCAATAAACTCTACGTGATTTTCAGTTTTAGAATTATTATAAAAATTGTCACTCTTACCTTGATTTTGGTCACACTCATGATTGTCATCATACCCATCACCATCTAAAGCTGAATTTTCATCTTCAACGTTATACTCTGCTCTTCTTACATTTGAGCCGTTTCTCAAACCTCGATGAAATCCTCTGCCTCTGGTGTGGCTTCTTCCGCGACCTCGATCGCCTTTGAAGCTGGCTATACCTTTGCTGTGGGCGTGTTGACTTGAAGTAAACTTATTTCTTTTGGAAGGAGGACCAGATGAATCAAAAGTTTTGTTGAAAGGTCTCTTGTTATGTCCTTGAGATGGACGTTGAAATTTGTTCGGGCAATCTTCACCTTTATGATCAGTTTCACAGTTACAGATGTAACAGAACCAACGATTTGGAACTAACAATGGACATTCTTGTTGCCAATGTCCCGATCTGTTGCATCTATAACACTTGGATTTATTGGGCTTGGCTTTGAATGAGTTTACTCTGGACGCTGTTGGTTCCCGAACATCTGAATCTCTTATATCGGCATCGTTATCTTCTTGAATGCGAATCATAGCTTTTCTCAAAGCTTCCATGCTCATTTCTTTGCCTGTGGTTGTTATGACGGCTGAATCAGTACGTCGTATTTCGGGCATGACTCCGATGATTGCTTGATAAAATGTGGAACGCTTTTCTTGATCGGTCAATTTTTGAGGATCATCACTTAGTTCATGTTCTCGGACAATTTGATCGAAACGTTCACAAAACTTGTGAACTTTCTCTCCTTTGTTCATTCGAAGATTGTAGAGCTTGGTTCTAATTGAAGTTGGCGTAGAAATAACTTCACCTTTTCTGCTTTCTCTTAACTTCTGAAGAATTTCCATTGGCTCTGTCATACCCAAAATCTTCTTATGATATTCTTCATCAATGTGACTAATAATGATGTCCTTGACGGAATTTTTTCTCAATATTGTTTCGGTTTCCGAAATTCCAGTTGGTTCAGGTATTTTTGAATCAACCAGATAAAGCAACATCCAGCTAGTCAATTCCGTTTTAAGGCAATCTAACCAAACTTCAAAGCTCGATTTCGCAGTTAATTTGTAACTTCTCTGAATTTTTGGTCTCATATTAATGTTACTCGTTAAACTCTGATTTCCAAGCATGACTTGGCTGTTTTGTCTCAAATTTGTGTTACTGCTGGTGCTTTGAACTTCTTGCGTGATTTGATTATTATTAATTCGTTGATCTGTTTCTTGCATCGATTTTAATTTCGATTTTTCCGATTCGAGAATGTTATTTTGTGCCAAAACTAGTTTGTCTAAAGCTCCTTTTAACAAACTTCGAGTGATTTGATCTGTTGGCACGTTGGATGCCATCTTCTTGGCCAAAGCTTGAGCTTTTGAAATGACATTTTTTAATTCCTCTGAATTTTCTTCAGTTCTCGATACAGCAACAGTCTGTTGCGAAGTGCTCGGTAAGTTTAAATCTGATGGAGACAAAATTTTGTCCTGTGAACCGTTGACCTCTTTATCCATCTCTGAATTTTGCATTGTGTTTCGAGTTGTATTATTCGAACCTCTTTGTTGTACGACACTTGCTGTGAATAATAATATACTCTTATTACCTGGATTTTATAAAACTTGTCAGATCTGACCATTCACTTTGCAATATTAAAAAATTTCTCTGAATTCTCTTAAAAATTGTAATTTTCATCTTACATTTACTCACAGCACTCTGAATTTTCAATCAAACATAGACAAATGAAAATATTTATTCTTACATTGAAAGTTCTCTTCAGGATCAGACTCGTTTATTTGACATCTGGTCCTTAAATACTCAGCATACGCCTCACTTTCATCTTCATCATCTAGATCCTCTGAATCCCATGTATTTACATTTGTCATCTGTTCCAGGATTAAAGAAACACTCTCTATTAGTATGGTTTGGATTTAATAAAAATTTTATTATTATTTCTCTGAAATTATTTTAAAATTAACTCTGAAATTTATTTTGAACTTTTAAAAGTAAATTAAATTTTATTTCAAAATTTTAATTTCCTCGAAATTTTCTCGTTTGAATTTTCTTTCTCTAAACAATACCAGGTACTTCTTAAATTATACTAAACAGAGAAATGTTTCATGCTTCTGAACCAAAACAATTGCACGGCAATTGCTTTAATTCGAAACGAAAAATCGGGTTTTCGCACCGCACAAAACATACATGTACACCACTCGCCGATATTTGACTCCGAGTGTTACCACGAAAGTCAATCGGTTTTGGGTTGCGCAAGCACATGCATGGGTCACGGATATGATACTACCAATTTCTCTAGTCAATAATTAGATTATTTACTGAACACAAGTTTTCATCCAATCATTGACCCCAGAACTTTGTAAACATGTCTAAAAAAAATTTATTCTATTATTAGTTATATTTGAAACTTTTGAAATTTTAGAAAATACTCAAATAGCCAGTGATCAGAATCCGCCCACAAGGCAGGTCAGAATTTGACACCAAACTAAGAGAATACTTTGCACTTGTTCTTTATATTTAAAGTAAATTATATTTACTCTATATTTTTTTTAAATTATAAATTATAGAATTTAATTCATCAGAGAGCAAATGTTTACATTTAGTTTGATTGAGAAACTTTTATTTTTATTTTGTTTAATAAAAACATTCTTCAATTCTATATAATTATATTCTCTGAATTTACATAATTTAGTTAATTGTGACAACTCGATTTTTAATCTGAAATACTATTATTTTTATTTATTTGTGTTTTATATTATTTAATTGCTCGTAATATTTACTTAAAAATTTGGAAAATTCGCGCCAACTTGTTTGAACGAAAATCGTCAATCAAGTACTGCACCACGTGTCGATTCAAGGAATTAACACGCAAGCGCTTTAGACTTCCGCTCCCCCGAACACAAGGTGCTTGAGTTGGGCATGAAATCCGCCATTACCAACACTTTCATGAATTTCCAAATAAAGCAAACAAATTTCCAAAACACAATATAAATTTTTACTTTTATTTTGTAACTCTGAGAAAAGTTCACGAATTTAAATAGATTTTAATTAAACAGACATTTGATCTGTCTTTTTACATAGCACTGTCGGATCGAAAAACATTTCAGCCATGCCGTGCACGCACCGACATGTTTCACATGGCGTCTTTTGTCCTTGCGATTTCCCGTTTTGTTTATACGTCTGAATTTTACACTATCGGGAAAATCACATTTTATAAGAAAATTTTGATAACTTACTTTTCAAGTATCCACGTGAAGCACTCTCCTAAATGCATACACGAGAACCTCAGTATAAAGGCACACTTCTTGAAAAATTGGTATCCTCGGTTGTTCGATTCAGCATACACTTTTTCTTTCTTAATTTTATTGAACTAAATCACTTTTTATATTACATGAATCGTAACCACGGACTACTGCTACCATGTAGGACAAACTGGTTTAATGTAATTAAATATGTACACTTGTTTTTTATCAAACTCTGAACGTTTATTTATTCAATATACGCCTCTTTATCTCTGAATACACAAGAAGACTGCTAGGTTACGAACCGTTCCGCTCGCGCGCTGAGAACACATAAAGTCTGGAAGGGGAATCGGTCCCACGACTACCACGACACGGAATATCGACAAAGCTATTTCTTACAAAAATATAATTTAGAAATAAAAATTGATTATATAATTTCCTTAACAATTGAAAAAAATTAACAATACTCTAGCGTACGTGTAATAATAATAATAATAATAATAATAATTTGAATTTTTTTAGGTGAGAACCCTTGGACAGGGTATATCTTATCCTGCCAAACAGCGTAATTATTGATGAGGAAGAAAATAATTGGACAAACAACCAAGTACAAGGCTAACGTGCTAATCATGTAAAATTGACAACACGAGTGGTTGAGTTGTGTCTTTAAAAACAAAAATAATAATCAAGTGTCAGTGTGCGTATATAGAGTATACGCATTGCTCGATCAAGAAAATGAAACGACTCTTGCGGGACGAGAGATTGATAATTTATATTATATATTCGAATAAAAAAGCCACGTGACCATGAAGACAAAAGGATGCAATCCGTGCCTCTAGTCAATAAAAACCACGTTCTCTGTTATAATATCGTCAATTATCACACTGCTATAAGGCCTGAGATGAGTGAAAAAAAAAAACATTGTTGGTCGAACAGTGCCCAATATTATAGACTTTATATGCGTTTATCTGTAAAATAAAATCAGAGATGATCGCAACAAAGGTACAATAGTACTCGACTGATTAGCCTTTATTAACAAACAAAAAAAAAAAAAAAATAGCCTTATTTTCTCCTGTTGAAAACAACTTTAAACGTTTCCACATAATCGAAGCGATAATCTACGAATTGTTAAAGAGAACAAAATGTATATATATATATAATTGTACAAAAACAGTAGTTATAGTATTCACAAATTTTGTATATTTATTAAATTTTTCGACTCATGGAATGAGCTTCCTTGACGAAACTATTGTTTTTCACGAAATTATAATATAATTATTTACTGAAAATAAAAGTATTGTTTCTTAAAAAAAAAAAAAAAAAAACTATTTTACGAATCGCAAAATTCTTCAATTATTATATTATTTTGAAATTAGTCTAACATTATATTATAGATGTTTGTAGATATTGTATATTTATAGATAATATGAATATTATTTTATAATATTAGTTATTAATTTATAGACAATTTCTAATTTAAAAAAAAAAAAAAAAAATTCCGCCTGGGTGTTTCCAGCAGGGTCAGTTGTTTCAAATATATTGTCTTAATATAATATTATAATTATATATTTTCTTCAGACTGAAACCAAAACGTAAATTTGTACGTCTTTCGCACAAAGCGACAAACGTTTTAAATGATATAAGTGAATTATTAATTTTAAAAATTATGTTCCTTTTATGTCTTATAAGTAGATAAAAAATAATAAAAAAATAAAACGGAAAATAAATATATAATTGGTAACGATAACATGGAAACCGGCAGGAAATTGAATGACAATGTTGTGACAATTTTTTAAAAATTACACAGTTTCAACATTTCTGCCATATTTTAAAAATAGAAATGCAAAATAATAATTTCTTTCAAATCGCGTCCCTTTATTGTGATATACTTATATTTTTTACATCAAATTGCAATTGTGCTTACACTAGAGTTGAACCAAAATATCAAGTGCAAAATCTGTTGACTGTATACTTTCAGTCTTGCATTGATCCTATGTATCATAAGACTTTTTTGATAGCAACATGGTGAATATATATATTATTGAATAAACTGCACAAATTGTGTATTTCTTTACCTTAGATAGAATCCAGTTACAAAATTTTTGACTACGTTGAAGTTCACAACGTTTATAATTAATAATTTCTAAAGAAATATTTTTATTTTTAATAAAACAAATTATAAATAACAGCTTTTAAGATAAAAGTTTTTTTTTAAAGAATAGGTCATTTATTTTTTAATCGTTGATTATAAACGTTACAAATTTCAGCATAGTATATTTTATAAGTCTGATTTTTAATTTGAGTTTACAAATTTACAAATACAATTTACAAAAAAAGTGAAAAAAATATTAGAAAAAGGAAATTTATTATTTTTTTTTTTTTGCGAAAAACAGTAAAAATATAATTATTTACATCTTTTTACTGTGTATGAATGAAAATTTAAATAAATTCTTAATTCAGATTTATAAAATAAAAACCTCTATTTCATATTTCACAAAAACAATAATTTCTTTAAAAAATATTGTAAAAAAAGCAATTTTTATTTTTGCTATTTTAATTTTATTTAACAGAAACCAATTCAAATTTTGAATTTCGTAAAAACAAAAAAGACAATTTTTTGTATAAAATTGGAATAACTAGTAAAAATATGTTTCACCAATAAAAGAGTCTTGATTATGACAAAGTAAATAAATAATAATTGTTTTATTATTAATAAAAGTATTTTTATTACAATAAAAAGTTGGTAATAATATTAAATAAATTATATATAATTATTCATTTTCTTTTGATTCATATACGAGATTAGATATATTTATATCTAAACAATAATTTTGCACATAGAAAACGCCTATTCGATGGCGATGTTTAAAATTTAATAAATATTCACACAATTAGAATATCAATTATACTTGTGTTTCGATAAAAATTTCTGACGATATAAATAAAAATTAATTTACAGAATCAATTAAGGGGAGGGACCGGTGAAATTTCATCTCATAGAAATTAAGGGGTGTCCATTTTTTATGGCATTATTTGGAATCTAAAATTATTGTGAATTTTCAAAATTCAAAAAAAAATATTTTTTTGATCATTTTGGAAATTTTTGATATTTGAAAATATTACAATTTTTAAAAATCCATACGATTGATTGTTCAAAATTATGAAAAAAAACCTACAAAAAAAATTGCCGATAAAAAAGAATAAACATTGTATAGAAGAAGTTGAATTTTTAAGGAATAATTGATAAAATTTAAACCAAACATAATTGGTTTGGTTTAGGGGTAACAATCTTTTTTTAAAATTTTTTTTAGAACCTGAAATTATATTTCACTATAAAAAATGAAAAAAAGCCGATTTTTAACAATTTTACAATTTTTTTTCAGAAATTTTATTTTTTTGAAGAAAAATGAATTTTTTCAAAATATGATTGATTGTTCACAAATCATGAAAAAAGTGTATAAAAAAAATCATCAATGAAAAATAATAGAAATTGCGACAAGAGTTAAAATTTTTAGTTTTTGAAAATTTCAAGTTTTATTTAAAACATTATTAATGAATTTATTGTTTTTCAATTTCCCATAGTATATTACAGTTTTAAATATTTAATATTAACAGAAAAAATTTTTACAACATTAAACAACCTTAACTTCGAAAGGTTGAAATTTCAGCGGTCCCTCTCCTTAAATTGAATTTTTTTTTTAAACGACTACCCTATTATCATCAAGTGTTTTATCTTATGGGTTAGTCCATTGACTTTCGTCTAATAGTAGTTGCGACCAAATTTTTAAAAAATCTAGTTTTAATATATGCGTGAAACTCGATGATTCCCTAAGTTCATTAACCATAATATTATGGTAAAAATTTTATTCCCTTTAAAAATATTAAATATCAAAAGTAAGAGGTTCTCAATGTGATTTTGTAACCTTAAATTTTTCAATTTTTTTAAAAACGCTATTATTAAAAAACTATTAAAAATTAGATGTTGGAACTCAACAAAAACATAAATCACTTTATTCTGCACAGAGGAACGAAAGAATTATTGCAAAAATTTATTATTTTTGGATGATATACGATTTTAAAAAAAAATTTTATTTAACTATTCCCAAGATTTTTATTTACTTATAACCTTTTTGTCGGTGCTCCGAAAAAATTGAGGTTTTGCACAAAGATTTTTTATAATATTCTTTACCTTCTATTAAAATCTTACGAAGGTGTTTTGCTTCGTTTTGGAGATATTAATTTTCAAAATTTTTTATTTAAAAAGGTTAATTAAAAGACTTGAAGTTAACTAACCAAATTCAAACTGCTCCATTTTTTATAAAAATATATTAAAATGTAGCGATTTGAAATTGGTAAGTTAACTTCAAGTCTTTTAATTAACCTTTTCAAATAAAAAATTTTGAAAATTAATATCTCCAAAACGAAGCAAAACATCTTCGTAAGATTTTAATAAAAGGTAAAGAATATTATAAAAAATCTTTGTGCAAAACCTCAATTTTTTCGGAGCACCGACAAAAAAGTTATAAGTAAATAAAAATCTTGAGAATATTTAAATAAAATTTTTTTTAAAATCGTATATCATCCAAAAATAATAAATTTTTGCAATAATTCTTTCGTTCCTCTGTGCAGAATAAAATGATTTATGTTTTTGGTGAGTTCCAACATCTAATTTTTAATAGTTTTTTAATAATAGCGTTTTTAAAAAAATTGAAAAATTTAAGGTTACAAAATCACATTGTGAACCTCCTACTTTTGATATTTAATATTTTTAAAGGGAATAAAATTTTTACCATAATATTATGGTTAATGAACTCAGGGAATCATCGAATTTCACATATATTAAAACTAGTTTTTTTTAAAATTTGGTCGCAACCACTATTAGACGAAAGTCAGTGGACTGACCCAAACTAAAAAACATGTCTATAATCGAGTATTTTCAAATTTTGCATTCCATTTGTGAGGTAGTGCATAACGAAGTTTATCCCAAAACCAAGGATCACCCCATTTGACGTAAGTGTTCATTTTTAAATACGATTTTAAATCTGGTTCCAATTTATCAATAGGCCCAATATCACCATACAAAACAATAATAATAATTCTCATTCCATCACTAAGAGCTTTTTTATGAGCAGCTCTAAATTCCATTTTTGCCCATTCACTATTTATGAAATTTGTCGAGATAATAAAAATCGTTCTGCTCGATTCCCTAATAGATCGTGAAATTTGCGAGGGAATCCATTCACCAGCGGGCCAATCACGAAAATGTATACATAACTTATAAGATCTTGGTCTCAATTCAAGATTCGTAACAAGTTCATTAATGACAAATTCCTCGTCCTTATGTGAATAACTGATAAAAGCATCATACTGTTTGTCCTTGTCCAATTCCACTTCGGTGACAAACCACAGGCAAATATTATGCGTGTACAGCCAAATTTTAATTTTTTTCTTATATAAACAATAAAAAATTGTTAAAGAGGCAAATATTAATCCCATTAGTGCAACACTAACACTAATTGCGAGAATAACATTTGTATTTATTCCACACATTTCTTGGTATAATTTCATTGGTAAATTAGAATCTACACATATAATATCATCTGAATCTTGAATGAAGGAGTTGGAACATTGAGCCATTTCACGTAGATCATCATTTTCACAGCAGCATATCCATGGATTGTTACCAAAAGTTGCAGTTATTTTTGACAGACTAAAGTGCCTTATAATTTCAGGTGATATTAATGATAGTAAATTATTGTCAAGCTTCACACGCTGCAAAAATATGATTTATCAGAAAAATTAAATATGTGCTATAATATAAAATTTAATTAATCCTCTACTAGAAAAAATCAATTGAACACGATTTAAAACGATTGAGTATATACAACCATTTCTTAATCGTTTTGAATTGTTTCCAATTGAGCACCTGGATATAATAAATCGCGCTACGTTCGACTGTACACTCTCAAGCCAGTCAAAGCTACAAAAAGGGTAAGAAAATTCAAAATTTTGAATTTTGAAAAGTACTACCTTGTAAGAAATAAAAAGGCGCATCTTTTTTTCCTTTAACATTTTTTAGAAAAACGAATATTTTAAATAATAAATCCAAAAAACTAAGAAATCTTGATTCACAAATTTCATTAAGTTTTAAAATATAACTCATCGTATCTTTTACAATTATTAACGGATTTGATTAAAAATTGGTATACACACGCTCTTGGGTCTATTGAAGACGACAATATAATGCAAAATTAAAAAATCACTAATTGTTTATTAATTTTTTAATATAATTTAGAGACTTGTCGGAAAACACGTTTTCTTACATTCGGCGACAAAAAGTCTGCAGGGAAGTTTACAGTTGAGATAACTTCCAGTGAGACATTTATTTATAACTATATAAAGAAGTTTTTTGGAAAATTTTAAGCCGAATCATTGAATACTTTAGAAAATATTGAAGTTTTAAGAAAGCGCGATTTATTATATCCAGGTGCTCAATTATTGAGGTACATCTATGTATTTTCAATTGATTCAAAAATTGTTTCCAATCGTGTGAATCTATTTTTCATTTTTTTTTTTCAATCGGTTGCAATTGACAGAACGATATACCCAGGCGCGAAGGGACGCTGGGTTCAGGCCTTTTAAAGACTCGTTGAGCATTGGCCAATAGTGACTGAGCCTTGGTCAGTCAGCGGGAATAAGACTCATCCAAGCTAGAATGTAACACCGATTCCGACCTGAAGCTCCACCCTTGATTCAGCATTGGTGACCAAGACTCAATCAATCTTGCCGAATGCTGATTCAGGCTCGCTCAAGACTGCTCCCACTGTTACTTACTATTCTCGCGTTCAATAATTCTTAATAATAATAGTCCTATTAATATTTTGTATTATTATATATTTATAGATAATATTAAAACAACATTAATATTCATTAAAAATATGATTTTAATTTATTAATAATAAGAAGATAAAATGTATTGGAATCTTATAAGAGTCAATAGAACTTATTTCCTTTAATTATTATTAGTAATTTCAAAAAAATGTACTATTCTTTAATTAATTTAATCCGAAGTTTTTTACTATTTTTGTTTCATCACTTAAGATTAACTAACAACACCTGTCGAAATTATACCTAATTTAATTTGAAAAATCTCGCTCGCATTGGGCACCGAACCCACGACCTAACGTTCACGCTCGCAAACCTACTACGCTAACCACGGGGCCACGCTGGCTACTTGGCGACATTCTGTTAATGCTGGTGATGTTTTTGGCGCGCCTTTAAGCTAAATTTGAAATCTTCTTATCGTTAAATTACTTATTTATTTTTAATATTAATATAAAATTATTTTAATTTATATATTGCTGTTAATTTAAATAAATTATATTAAAAATTTTTTTTATTAATGGAATAAAAAAACTTTGTAATGAATGTATAAGCTTTTATTTTTATTAAATTAATAACTTATATATTTATAAATACAATAAAAATATAAAATTGAAAATATTTCAACTGTTGTATTTTCAATTACTTGTATTTTTGAAAATACAATTATAGTAAATATTATGTTTTTTACGTTATATTAAAGATTTATTATCTTCATAATGTATTAAATAATAATTCTTTAATTATTACAATATTATAGGTATATTATAATATATAATAATACATAATAAAGATGATAAATTATCATAATATAATCTTAAAAAAACAAAATTTATTAAAAGAAATTATTTTCAAAAATGTGTTGAATATAATTATTATGATTTTTATTGTATTTACAAATATAATATTTATGAAATATTTATTTATAAAAAAACAAAGAATACTTTTATTGAAATAAATAGCAATATATTAATTTAAATAATATTAATTAATAATTATAAAATATATTAAATTGTATTTAACAAAAATTGTAAAAAATATGTTATTTAATTTGTATTGAACGTATATAAATAATTACTCAATACAATTGTATTTTATACAAGATAATAATTAATATTGAATTAAGCTGCGAATATTAAGTCGAAAGTTGATTCAAGATTGAATCTAGACTGGACTCCTAGGCTTTGCTCATGAGGATTCAACTAGTCTTGAATCCAGCATGAGACGAGCATTGGTAACCAATCTTGAACCAATTTTGATCGACAGTGGTATAAAGGCTGCTTTCAGTCTGGGTTACCCACGCTGGGCGTTCAATCTACAATCAAGCCTCAATCCATCGTCAGCATTGGTTTTTCGCGCCTGGGTATGGGTGAAAATTTCCCAACTGGGCCACCTAACACTGACTTTTCAAATTTAAAATATTTTTTTCATAATCTACTGCAGGAAACAGAATTAAAAACATTCCTGAAATGCGTTTTTAAAAAAATTAATTTTTTAATTATTTATTAACAATTGAATATTTTGTTGCCTTTCCACTAAATGGAAAAAATTTCAAAAACGACATAAACGTACACTTTTTCAAATTTAATTTAGAAAAAAAAAATTTTAGTACCTTTAAAAAATGAGTGAATTACGCGAATTTGATGAGCGACGTGCAAGCGCTGTGGAACAGTCACCAATGCCGCGCGCGGCGCGCTACTACGCGTCGAAGCCTATTCTCTGTTATCGAATTATTGACTAGAATTCTTGAATATCAAATTTTTCATTTATTTCATTATTAACAATCATATAACTTTTCATTACCACTGGTTGCTGAGAATTTTTTTAAAAAACGAATATTTATTAAATTATTTTGCAAGTAACAGAATTAGTATCACTAGAGAAAATGTTACATTCCAATGTAAAATTTTCTCTAGTGATACTAATTTATACTAATACTAATTTGGCTAAATAAAAATTTGTTTTAGCGAAAATTTAATTAAATAAAAATTAGGCTTTAAAAAAAATTGTATTAAAAAAAATTCTGTTAAATTAAAAATTCTGCTATTGAAAAATTTGGTTCAACCTTATAAATTAATTTTCTAAAATTCAAACTTACTACACATTGAGCGTCGCAATTAAAATCTTTTCGATGAAATAACAAATTCATTAAATTAAATTAAATTTGTTCTTATAAATATAAGAACATCGAAAAGATTTTAATTGGGACGCTCAATGTGAATTTTAGTTTTTTTTTTTAAAAAAAGAGCTTCTTTACACACACTTTTCGGTGTGTAAAATTTAACTTTAGAGGTTAGTGTTGCAAAAAAAATAGAACATCATGCGATCATTAAAATTTAAAATAGTCAAAAAGAAAGTGATGCCTCCACTTAAATAAAAATTTCCAGTGAATATTTAGTTAAATCCCGTGTGGAAAATTGGCAAAGGCCCCGTGAGGGGCACTCGTGGATTGCCCTCGTGCCGCATGGAAACCATAGGGGCAATCCACGTGGAGCCCTCAAAGGCGTGACATGCTTTCCCTCATGGTTACCCTCATGGAAAATTTATTATATTTTATTTATAAATTTTATAAATTTATATTATAAAAATTAATTAAAAATAAATAAGCTTAAGTTATGAATAAATAACATATTTATTTAATAATTATTCAATTTTAAATTAAATTCTTACTCAAATTGAATTTATTAATTAACGTTCTAATTAATTAACTGTCGGATATAATTAAAAGTAATAATAAATTAATTAATTAAAAAATTAAAAAATATGTAATTTATGCATACTGTTAACGGATATTTTCATTTTTCAATTAATTCATACATAGAATTAATGATTAAACGCAAACCTGAGAAATAAATAAATCTAACGCATGGGGGGAATCGAACCTACGACCTACGGACTATGAGTCTAACGCTTTACCAACTACGCTACGCACGCTACTTCAAAACGAATGCTAACTTTTTGATGCTATTTAAACTTAAAAAATACCTAACAAAGAAAAGTGCTTAACATCATTTAGTTAAAGTTAAGATATTAAATTATATTTTCCAATCAAATGCAATTTATAAAATATAATTAATTATAATTATGCTTTATGATTATTATCATGAATCATCTCAGGTGAATTTTCAAAAAAGTGTAAATATATTTTTATTAAAAACGCGTTTTTCGTTGTTTTGAATCATTGGAAACATTCATTTTTTGTTGATGAAAAAATATTTGATTTTTGGACTTAGAAAATTTTGCTAATCGATCATGAGGGCGATCCATGCGGGCCCCTACGATGGCCCTCATCTATTTTGCCATAAGTGTGAGTGTTATTTTCAAAAAAGTATAAATATATTTTTATTAAAAACGCGTTTTTCGTTGTTCTGAATCATTATAAACATTAATTTTTTGGTGATAAAAAAATATTTGAATTTTGAACTTAGAAAAATTTTTGAGCAGGGCACCGTGAGGGCAAATAGCAAGGGCCCTGCTGGAGCCTTCGTGTATTTCCATAACTTTGTACATAGATTTTTAAAAAATGTCACCCAATGTTTATTTCAAGTGCTTTAAAATGTTATTTAATGCATTCTGAAGTAAACATTTATTATACAAAAAAAAATTTTTTTTTAACTTAGACAAATTTTTGAGCAGGGCACCGTGAGGGTAAAGACCGGGCACCCTGCTGGTGCCCTTGTGGATTTCCAAAACTTGGTACTTAGATTTTTTTTAAATGTCACCTAATGTTTATTTCAACTGCTTTAAAATGTTATTGAATGCATTCTGAACTAAACATTTTTTGGTAAAAAAAAATTTTTGTTTTTGGACTTAGACAAATTTTTGAGCAGGGCACCGTGAGGGCAAATAGCGGGGGCCCTGCTGGTACCCGCATGGATTTGCCCTCATGAATTTTCCACTTGGGACCCTGCCGGGGGCCCCTATCACGCATGGGACGAACGGGGCGTTTTCCACACGGGATATTAATTTAATTTAAAAATATTCAATTAAATAAAAATTTGATCTTATGAATTTTGAAAATTCTAATATTAATGATTTTTAAAGAATATTTCTTGCGTAATTTATAAAATAATTGCCTACCAAAAGTTTCGTGAAAATTAAACTATATGAGCAATATTTAGAAATAATACTATAACTTACCCTCAGTGTAGGACTACTTAACATTTCTAGGGTAATGTTTGAAATTTGATTATTTGATAGAAAGACATTTGTTAAATTATCATAACCAATTTGTGGTAAATTGGAAATATTCTTTATAAAATTTCCACTGAGATTTAATTCATTAGTATAGCCCTTCTCTTTCAAGAAACACAATGTTTCTGGAATTTCAGTAAGATTCCTGTTTGAACAATCAATAATAAACGTTCGATCATAATGTCTTCTTCGTAAATCACACGCTTTTGGACACATTTCATAATTTTTAATTTCTTCTTTTGATGGATAACTCTTGTATTCTTTTAAATTAATGTCAGATAATAGAATTCCCTCGTAATCTTTAGAAACTAAACATTTCATTGGTCCAATTTCTAAGAATAATTTCTCTCGCACAGGGTTTCTCATTGCATTGTCTAAAAATCGTAAAAAATTATATAAAGCTCCATCACATTTAAGAGGATTGTCATTCAGGAGTAGCGTAATATTTTTATGAACTTCCTCGTGGAAATAATTTTCACAATTCAAGTTAATTGTCTTTATTTTGTTGAAGGATACATCGAGAATAAAATCATTACTGTGCCTTAAATCCAAATCAGTTATCTGCAAAGATAAAAAAGAAAACATTTAATAGTGAGATAATGAACAGATATATTATTGTGAAATAATTATAGAAAATATGGAGAAATAAAACAAACCGATAATGAAGGAAGAATATTGTTAGATAGATTTAAATAATGAATTTGAGGAATTTTAATCCAGTTGATCGAAAATGATGATATTTTGTTGTAAGATAAATTTAATTCTTCTAAATTTCTGAAAGGGATAAATCCAGAAATGGTACTATTTTTGATTTTTGTTTCTACAACATGAGCAATATTATTGTGAGAGAGATTTATGTGCGTTACACTTTTAAGAGGTGCGAAATCAGCTTCATAAATATTTATCATTTTATTATAACTCATATTTAAAAAGCGTAAAGACTGGAGTCCATTAAATGTGAACCTGTAAAAAAATAGTTGTAAGATATTAAAATTTTTCTAAAATATAATAAAAATAATTCAGAAAATTTATCTGAATAAAACTAATTTATTAATTTATAATAATAATAATAATAATAATAATAATAATAATAATAATAATAATAATAATAAAAATAATAAATTAGGTATTCAGATAAAAAATGTTCTGCATTTTTTCAATTGTTGTTATAGATATATTTTCTAAAATTTTTTTTAATTTCAAATATTTTTCAAAATATTTGCATTAATAAGTTTTAACAATTTTTTTTCTTCTATTCATAACTTTTTCCTTTTAAAGAGAGGGATCAGTGAAATTTTAATCCATCGAAATTAATGTTGTTTAATTTTTTTTTTGGCAATATAATTCTCGAAAATTTTAACTTCATTCACAATATTTCTCTTTTTAAATAGTTGAGGGGCTGATAGTAAAAATGGTTTAAAATAACATTGGGAGCAAAAGTGGGATAAGTGACTTGGGAGCAAAAACGGGTTAAAATGATTCGTTTAATTTATTGATAAATTCATTATATTATCGATTAAAAATTATTAACAATAGGAAAAAATGCATATTTTATTATAATTAATATTTTTTAATCGATAATATAATGAATTTATCAATAAATTACACGAATCATTTTAACCCGTTTTTGCTCCCAAGTCACTTATCCCACTTTTGCTCCCAATGTTATTTTAAACCATTTTTACTATCAGCCCCTCAGTTAAAAATTACTTTACTTTATTTTTCAATAGTGAAATGTGCGATTTCAGGTTCTGAAAAAATGTCAAAAAAAAATTGTTTACCTCTAAACAAGGTTAATTTTGATTATGGTTTTAAATTTTACTGGTGATTCTTTAAAACTTTAACTTCTTCCACAATTCTGATTATTTTTCATCGCCAAATTTTTTATACACTTTTTTCATGTTTTTGAACAATCAATCGTATGAATTTTAAAAAATTTTAAATTTTTCAAAGAATTCAATGTTTTAATAATTTTTTTTAAAGTTACTTGGATATTCCATTATAAAACTTGCGGGAAATAATTCTAAATAGTGTAGGCTGTCAGCAGAAAGAAATTGAAGGGAGAGTGTTTTACAAAAATTACCCCAAAAAAACTGTTTTTTTTTTATATTTTTCATAATTTATGACAATTTTTTTTTAAAAAAGTATTTCATTTTCTGAATAAATTTAAAAAAAAAACTATGAAAATTATTAAAAACTACCAGAGTTATCTCAATTTAAAAAATATAATACAAGAATTTTCAATTTTGAATATTTTCAAAAAATTTTTGAATTTTTGAAAATTATCTTCACAAGCCTTTACACTACAAGAAAAAAAAGTTTCATAAAAATTGTTAACAACAAACACTAAAAAATAATCGCTCAGTATATACGTGGAAATTGTTCAGATCCCCCATTTTAAAAATAGAAAAAAAAATGTTATAAATGTTTTTTGCAGAAAGTGTTAAACTTTAAAAAAAAAATTATGATTTTTTAATTGATTTGTTTAAATAATAAATTTTGTTCTCAATGGAACATACCTTGATAATGTTAAGATACTGTTGTTACCAAGAAGTAATTTCTGAAGATTTATACACGATTCGAAAATATTATCAGGTAAACTGTCAATTTTGTTGCCGCTTAATTCCAAGTTCTCTAAATTTACCAAACCATCAAATATATTGTCCGGCAATGTTTGCAAAGCGTTTTCAACTATTTTTATAACTCGCAAATTGTTCGATCCCTTAAACAGATTTGCAGGCAAACTTTTTAAATTAGAATAACTCAAGTTCACTGTCGAAAGATTCTTTAAATTGCTAAAGAGTCCGCTTGGTAAATTTGTCAGTTTATATTCTTTTCGAAGTCTCACAAGTTGCAGATTTTTATTATTTTCAAATAAACCCTCTGGTAGAGATTCAAAGTGATTGCTTGACATACCGATTATTTTTAGATTAATATTTTTAGCGAAAATTTCCCGTGGCAATGTTGTCAATTCATTATAGCCAAGATTGAGATATTTTAACAACATCAAATTGTTGAATGTGTCACTTGATAATTCAACTATTTTATTATTGGAAATATTGAGAAATTTTAATTCACTTAAATTTTCAAATGTTTTGTTTTCGAATCTTTCGAATTTATTATTCCCCAAATCAAGGAATTTAATATCGGGGAAAAATTTTAAAAAATCTTTAGGTAATGACATGATTTTTTCATTTTTAGAATGTAGAACTAATGATTCATAAGTATATGAGAATTCTGGAAAATCATCTCTCTTTAATACAGTTTTATTAGTTTTTATTAAGTTTTTCTTTTCCTCAGATGTTGATCGTAAAATCTCTATATGTTTTGTATTATTTTCGGCAAAAGCAATTAATGAGACGACGAATAATATAAAGATATTCCATATAGCCTGCATTTTTGATATTCTTCTTAGAAATTACAGATTTACATTAAATTCGTTGAATAGAAATTTCATTGAATAATAAATTCAATATGAAATATATGTAATTTTTTTTTAAATTTATTTATGCTTTCGCCATACATTATTGCGAAAAGTATTGATTAAATTTTGTTTCTTTCGATGAATTATTCTATATAGACATAATTCTTAAGAAGTTGCACCACTTACACTGCATTATTTATACATAAAAAATCTTGTTAAACTCTTTCAATTTGTTCACTTCATTACTATACTAACTTATTTCCAATTTTCCGTAATTATAATTTTTTTGAATAAAAATTTTTTTTTTTAAATTATTTTTATTTACACAGAAAAAAATACATTTTTTTTTCTTTAAATATATTCAACATAAACATATGAACGTCTTATATTCAACTAATAAACTGTTTACACTGATTCCTATATTTTGAAAAGTACTTAAACATTCGATTATATACCCATTAAAAAAGGCTAATTATCATCATTACCATTAGCTTCGCTTATCTTGAATTCTATTGTCGAATTTGTATAAATTTTATAATAATAAGTTAGAAAATAATTTTCTAGGATGGATGATAAGTATAAAATGGAAAATTTTAGATATTTGATAGTGATAAAATATAATTAGAGATCGAAAGTAACAGATTATAATAGATCATTAAAACAAATAAATAACAAGAAATCTTGGTAAAATCTTTGGTAAAAAAAAGAATATAAAAAAAACATTTTTAATTGATTTACATTATAAAAATATGCTCTCACATCATAAATTAATTTAAAAAAAAAATTTTTTTTTTTTTAAATGTTGGCAAGTTCAACAAGTGAAATGTAAACGAACATGAAATGTAAAGAAATCATGCACATTTTTTTCGCACTTATCATTTGTGTAGAAAATAAAAATTTGTCATTTTCTTTATGAAAATGGTAAATTATAGTATTAAACTTGGTAACTATACTTTATTTAACTGATTATATGAAAAAAAAGTACAATTATAATAAAATGAAAAGTACACTGAATTAGCAATTTTTTCAAGGTTTCGAAAAAAAAAACCATTTGAGTATATCTGAGGCACGGACGTTGAGCACCTAGGTGGGAGAAAGAGTGGAGCCATTGGACGGACACATCTTGGAAAGGGTAAAATTCTGAAATTTTACCCCTTCTCTCACTTTCTCCCACCTAAGTCCTCAACATCCGTGTCTCAGATATACTCGAACATAATTAGTTCAGTAAAGTATAGTTGCCAAGTTTAATACATTAATTTACCATTTTCACAAAAAAAACGACAAATTTTTATTTTTTATTCAAATGAGAAGTGCGAAAAAATGTGCATGGTTTCTTTACATTTCATGTTTGTTTAGATTTCACATGTTGGACTTGCCCTTAAGTCTGTATTATGTTATAAGTGTTATGCTTAAAGTAAACATTAAACATTAACCCTTGAAATACACACTTGTAAAACTTACGTTCGATACACACAAGGGCAATTTGTACCCCGCAATAATTTGCAATCGATTTTTTTTTATCGCGATAAGAAATCTTCTGATGAATACGAAAAATATAGTTTCATTGATATAAAATTATTTTTTTTTTAATATTTAAAATTGAACAATAACATGTTTTTAAAGGACCCCAATTTAAAAAAACACATGGACGATTTGTACTCAGTGTGTACTTTAAGGGTTAAGAGTGTCGAACGGTGTGTCTGAAATTCTTTGGCATTTAATTATTATTTACAAATTTGTCCAGAACAGCAAGGATTCTTATCTAATAAATTTCTTAAATCCGAAAGATTGTGCAAATACATACATAAAAGGCGATTGAAAAACGAAAAGTTGGAAAATAATATAATGACAGCTGCGACAATGTGCTCCCTGCATGCTTCTGACACCTAACGGCTGCAGGACGTAATAAAGCTGTCATTATATTACTTTTCTTTTTACAATCGCGTTTTTGTATAGATTTGCACAATCTTTCGGAATTAAGAAATTTATAAGATATAAAGATCCTTGGTGTTTTGGACGATTATTGTAAAAAGTGTCCGCGTTACGAGAAAAAAAGTATTTTAAAATCAATGTTTATCATTTTCACGTTCAGTGCAGTTTTTATAAAGCGATTATTAAATGCCAAAGAATTTCAGAGACAATTGGACACTCTTAAGCTTCTTCAGTTATTCGTTCATTATTATTTTTATTTAGCGAGTTCTTTTCGTGATCGTCCAACGGCAACGTGATCATATTAGAATACGATGTCTTCTCGATTTTGTTAAAATCGAGCTGAGCAACTGGATGTGGTCTGTAATTCTTTGTGTCTAATTTTTTAGATTCAAAATTGGATTTGTGAGGTAGTGCATAGCGAAGTTTATCCCAAAACCAGGGATCACCCCACTGGACGTAGGTGTTCATTTTTAAATATGATTTTAAATCTGGTTCTAAATTATCAATTGGTCCAATATCACCGTACAATACAACAATAATTCTTGCAATACCATCATTGTAAGCTTCTTGATAAGCAGCTCGCAATTCCATTTTACCCCATTCACTTTCAATAAAATTCGACGAGACAACAACAATAGTCCTTCTCGATTCCTTAATTGATTTTACAATTTGAGTAGGAATCCATTCGCCAGCTAGCCAATCTCTAAAATGAATACAAAGCTTAAATGATTGCGGTTCTCTTTCAAGATTCATGATAAGTTCATTAACGACAAATTCCTCGTCCTTGTGGGAATAACTGATAAAGGCGTCGTAAATTTTATCTTTGTCTAATTTTTCCTCAGTGATAAAACACAAACAAATATTATGAGTATAGAGCCAAATTTTGATTTTATTTTGTGAACGTTGATAAAATATTATAAAAGCACCAAGTGACAATCCTATGATGCCGACACATATGCCGACAAGTGTGATAAATACATTCTTTTCCATTGGACACAATTCATTATAGGAAAGCATCTTAATTTTTATATTGGAATTGTTACAATTTAGATTGTCTATATCCTCTACGTGTTGTTGTTTAACAAGTTCAAATAAATGACAATTGCAATGCCATGGATTGTTACTAAGTTCTATTTTATCAACACTCAAATAAATCATTTGTTTTATTTCCATTGATAGTGTTGTGAGCTGATTGTTATTTAATTTCAATATCTGCAAAAAGTTAAAATTATTTTATCTGTAAATTTAATTAAATATATATGAGTAAGACTATCAGTTTCCAAAGTTTATTTTTCATAATTCTTTTTTTGTTTGAACTATCTTACCTAAGACTATTATTTCTCTCAGTTTCAAAAAAAAAAAAAAATTAGAAGACCACCATCCATGAATTTTTTCAAATTTTTTTAGCAAGCCGTTTTCGAGTTATAGAATTTTGAAAATTGGAGAATTTTCATGACTTTTAATTTTTGAATGCTCATAACTTCCTTAAAAATGAATCAATTTTAAAAGTCTTTTTTCAAAATGTGTGTTTTTAAGCGTACTTTTAAAAAAAAAATCGAAAATTTTTTTTAAGGGTATGTGGGAACCTCCCACGTGACCTAGTATGGGAAAATGTGTTTTGGTAGTATACATTTCACTCTAAAATGAAAAAAAATTTTCGTCTAAAATTTTGAAGGATGATAGATTAGGATACAAAGAATCTCGCTGTTCTCCAAAAAAATACATAATTTTTAGTTAAATTATTAAAAAATGATGTTTAAAAAGTGAAATTTTTAAACGAAAATGAAAAGTAACATGGTGGCGCATACACAGACGTTGCTTGAGTGTGTCAGTGCTCCAGTAAACAGCGCCAATTCGAGCGAGTGGCCGCTGAATGAACTACGATTAAATACATTATTTTACTATTTATTGCTTTATTTTTATTATTTTTGCGTTAAGTTATATTGAATGAGTAGAACAGCGAGATTCCTTGTATGAAACAAAATCATTTTTCCAAAATTTTAACCCGAAATCATTTTTTATTTCAGATAAAGTTTCAAACCACTAAAAAACCTCCTTTGCCTACATACCCTTGAACGATATTACTGTCAAATTTTTGAGTTTTAATGATAAAAAGTCATTTTTCTCATTTGACGTATGGATCGATTTTTTTCAAAAAAACTACTCCTTTTTACGAAACTTTTAAGCTTAGCCCGATAATGGACAAACAATTTTTACAATATTTTCGGAATTTTTCAAAAAATTTTGAATTTTTTAAAAATATTTTTGGTTTTTTTTATTCTACTTACTTTTATGTATTTTGATGCGCTGATTACGAAAATCATAGTGGCAATTTTCGTTTATTGGGTAAAATATGCAAAAATTAAAAAAAATGCATGAGATATAAAAAATGTATTTTATTCAGATCTATAACTTTTGTCTGAAAGTTTGATTTTAATTTTTCATATTTTAGCCAATAAACGAAAAAAACCATAAATTTTGGGACTCATTTGATGGTTTTCGCCATAAAAATCAAATTTTTGGGTATTGTCAATATGATTTTCGTAATCAGCGCATCAAAATACGCATAAAAGTACGTAGTATAAAAAAAACCAAAAATATTTTTAAAAAATTTTTAAATTTTTGAAAAATTCCGAAAATATTGTAAAAATTGTTTGCCCATTATCGGGCTAAGCTAAAAAGTTTCGTAAAAAGTAGTTTTTTTGAAAAAATCTTGAAAAAAATTTATCATTACATCAAATGAAATAAATGACTTTTTATCATTAAAACTCAAAAATTTGATAGTACTCTCTAAATCTGAATCAGTAAAAATGTTTATTAATTTAAATTAGTGACTCACTTTTTGCTTCAGAATTAGTTAAATTTTACTAATTGAGTCATTCCATTATATTTCGAACAATGTCGTTGCCGACTAATTTTTAAAAATTATGATACTTTGCAGGGATGATCTTGAAGTTATAAAGATCACGAAATGAAAAGATTTTTACTAAAATTTTTATTATTTACTTTAAAATATGCATTTAAAGTGTACGAGGTGCTGAAAATTGACATTTTTTCAGATAGCAGAAAATATTCGAAAAAACCTATAATTTACCATAAAAGTGTGAAAATTATTATTGCAATTTATTAAGAATGACTAAATTTACTTTTATAAATTGATTTAAGCATTTAAAGATATGAAATAATAGGAAAAACATGATTTTCAATTTCATCTTAAAAATAACCTAATTTTGCTATTTTTATCGATTAATTATGAGAAAGGGTAAATATTAAATTAAAAAAAAACTTACCAAATATCAAGTCATTGCTATTAACTTTCAGATTTTCTTTGTACTTTTTAATTTTTCTCCTTTATTTATATAAAAATTTTGAAAAAGAAAATTGCCACTTTGCTAATTTTTGCGATTTTTGAAACTGAATAACTTGTTTACAGTAAAACGGAAAAATCTGGGATTTCGGGAGTATTTAAATATACACTAAATAAACATACTCCAAAAGTCTTGCGTTGGTTTTTGAGCTATTTTGTAAGATAAAGCGGATCGAAATTTCATTACTTTTGAGGCTATATTGACAATAATTTGTTCTTAACTTGAAGTTGGCTCGCAAGTGTTGTCATTTAATATAAACAAATATGAATTTATTACAAGACACGACACTTGCGAGCCAACTTCAAGTTAAGAACAAATTATTGTCAATATAGCCTCAAAAGTAATGAAATTTCGATCCGCTTTATCTTACAAAATAGCTCAAAAACCAACGCAAGACTTTTGGAGTATGTTTATTTAGTGTATATTTAAATACTCCCGAAATCCCAGATTTTTCCGTTTTACTGTAAACAAGTTATTCAGTTTCAAAAATCGCAAAAATTAGCAAAGTGGCAATTTTCTTTTTCAAAATTTTTATATAAATAAAGGAGAAAAATTAAAAAGTACAAAGAAAATCTGAAAGTTAATAGCAATGACTTGATATTTGGTAAGTTTTTTTTTAATTTAATATTTACCCTTTCTCATAATTAATCGATAAAAATAGCAAAATTAGGTTATTTTTAAGATGAAATTGAAAATCATGTTTTTCCTATTATTTCATATCTTTAAATGCTTAAATCAATTTATAAAAGTAAATTTAGTCATTCTTAATAAATTGCAATAATAATTTTCACACTTTTATGGTAAATTATAGGTTTTTTCGAATATTTTCTGCTATCTGAAAAAATGTCAATTTTCAGCACCTCGTACACTTTAAATGCATATTTTAAAGTAAATAATAAAAATTTTAGTAAAAATCTTTTCATTTCGTGATCTTTATAACTTCAAGATCATCCCTGCAAAGTATCATAATTTTTAAAAATTAGTCGGCAACGACATTGTTCGAAATATAATGGAATGACTCAATTAGTAAAATTTAACTAATTCTGAAGCAAAAAGTGAGTCACTAATTTAAATTAATAAACATTTTTACTGATTCAGATTTAGAGAGTAACATCATTTAAAAAAAATTTTTGATTTTTTTTTAAAAGAACGTTTAAAAACACACATTTTGAAAACAAACTTTCAAAATTACTGCATTTTTAAGGAAGTTATGAGCATTCAAAAATTAAAAGTCATGAAAATTGTCAAATTTTCAAAATTGCAGATTTTTTAATTTTTTTATGAATTTATTTTTAATTTAATTTTTAAAATTCATTTTTTCTTTAATCTATGAATGATATTTTAAAGGTGAAATTTATTTAACTTAAAATATCCTTCGTTTATTAAGATTCTAATAAATTTTCTTCTTGCTTTAGAATTTTGAATATCATTAATACAGTTTTATTCCACGTGAGATTTTCATTCAAAATTTCTTTATTTTATATTCATGTCGATTAAATATTATCAACGATTTAGAAGAAGAAATAACTTTCTATGTACATATTATTATTATTATTTGTGTAACAAAAATTTTTGCAATTAACAGTTTAAAAAAAAAAAAATTTAAAGCTAAAAATGTAGTAATTATTTTCCTAATGAAATAAAATTTAATATAATAGTAGATCCATAGAAAAATAACATACCTTGAAAATATTTTTTTTTAATATTGTTTTAGAAATTGTTGAAAATTCATTATGAGATAGATCGAGAATGACAATATTTTCAAAACCAATTGGAAAAAAATTTGGCATATCCTTAATGAAATTTCCCGTGAGATTAAGTTCATGATTATAATTCTCTTCACTCGAGTAGCAAAATGTTTCTGGAAATTGAGTAAGATTCCTGTATGAACAATCAATAATGAATTTTCGATTAGAATGTCTTTTTCGTATATCACACGCCTTTGGACACATTTCATAATTGATAATTTCCTCTTTTGATGGACTACTTTCGTAATCTGTCGAATTTATATTAGACGATAGAATTCCATCGAACTCCCTTGAAATTGAACATTTCATTGGATCAATTTCAATAAACAATTTATCTTCCGGATCTTTTCTCATTGAACCGTCTAAATATTTTAAAAGATCATTTAAAATGTCATCACATTCAATAGGATTGTCATTTAGGAGTAATGTAATATTGTTTATTGTATCTGTGGAGAAACAAGTAGCACAACTATTGAAATGAATTCTCGTTATATTGTTATGGGATACATCGAGAATGAAATCGTGATTTTGCCCTAATTCAGTTGTCTGCAAAGACAAAAGACGAAAAATAAATTCAATTATAAAATGATGAATCATAAAAATGAATAGGATCAGTTAGGGTAAATGGGGACAAAATCGCTATTTTTCACAAATTACGTAAGTTTCTTCCTTTAAAAGGTAATATTTGCGGGTTTATTTTTTTTAAGTTGTTATTTAAATTCCCAGGATTAATTTTATGGAGCAGAAAAAAATTTAGATAAGCTTTAAACGCATGAAACTGACTGTCCCCATTTACCCCAAAATTTATAAAAAATTTCATAAAATTTGGGGTAAATGGGGACAGCATAGTTTCTAAGAAAGTTTTAAGAAAATTTTTTTTTTTTATTTCAGTATTTTGTTTTGCATTTGAAAAAAACAGACTTAAAAATCATACCAAATTTTTTTCTTATTCCTTATGACTCCCTTAACAGAAATTCACTTGGATTTTTGATTTTTGTTAATCTGGTTAATAATGACAAGCTGTCCCCATTTACCCCAAAAAATTGAAAACTCAGGGTAAGGTAGGGTAAGGTAACTCAGCTTGTCATTATTAACCAAATTAACAAAAATCAAAAGTCCAAGTGAATTTCTGTTAAGGGAGTCATAAGGAATAAGAAAAAAATTTGGTATGATTTTTAAGTCTGTTTTCTTTGAAATGCGAGACAAAATTCTGAAACAGTTTGACTTTGATTTTCAAGTTTTTATGCATTGAGCGATAACTTTTTTTATCTTGCTGACAATTGTCAGCAGATCTGAAGTTAAAATATTGACGTTGAACTTCATTTTAAAACTGTAAATTAAGCTCCAAAACCTCTTGTCCCCATTTACCCCAACTGACCCTAATCAACAGATGTAATGAATAAATAATTATGCCTAACATACCGTTAATGAATGAAGGACATTGTTAGAGACATTTAAATGTTTCAATTGAAGGATTTGAATCCAAAAATCAGGTATCTTTGATATTTTGTTGCACGAAAGATCCAATTCTTCTAGATTTCTATAGCTGTTATATACAGTTGTGTTTTTATTTGTGATGTTTGTTTTTGAAAAATTTGTAATATTATTATGAGAGAGATTAATGTAGGTAATACTTTTCAGAGGTGCGAATGCTTCTTCATTAATAGTGGTTAGTTTATTATGTTGAATATATAATTTTTGTAGAGAATGAAGAGCATTAAATGTGAACCTGTAAAAACACAGTTATTATAGCTTATGTTTCTAAAACAATTTCATAAATAAAATAATTCTTATTTATTTTAAAAATTAATAATCATACAACATACCTTGATATTTTTAATATAATGTTATTATTGAGATATAATTCCTGAAGATTTATACACGAGTCGAAAATTTTATCAGGTATATATTTGATATGATTTTCAGCTAAATTTAAATACACTAAATTTTTCAAGCCATGGAATATCTTGACTGGCAATGATTGCAAAACGTTGTTATATATTGCTAAATGATTTAAATTTATTGAACCTCTAAAAAGATTCTCTGGAAGATATTTCATATTATAACAATTTATTCTCAGGTATATTAGATTCGGTAAATTGCTAAAAAATCCACTCGGTAAATTTATCAGTTGAGTTAAATTTTCAAATTCAATAAATTTCAAATTTTTATTATTTTTAAATAAATTCATTGGCAATGATTTAAAATCATTTCCTGTTAAACTAATATTTTCGAGATGAACATTTTTTTCAAAAATATTTTGTGGCAATGTTGTTAATTTATTGTTTGTGAGAATGAGACATTTTAATGAAGTCAAATTAATGAATACATCACTTTCTAACTCAACTAGTTCATTATTAGAAATAATCATGGTTATTAATTGTGTCAAATTATGGAATATCCCATGTTTGAATCTCTTCAGTTTACTATATTCTAATTCAAAAGTTTCAAATCTTAAAAATTGAAAGTTATCCTTACATAAAGAATTATTTATTGTATTTTGCATAATTAAGGAATTATTATTAGAATTATATGAACAATTTCCACTAGTCTCTGCTGAGATATATTTTATTAATAGCAAAATCAAAATTATTATAAAATTCTTCCTTAGATCATGCATTTTAATGATTCAAAAATTTTGTTGATTGCCAAAGTTCAAAAATAGAAACTGTAAAAAAGAATTTCTGAAATTTAATATTTTTATTGATAAAAAAAATACATTTTTTTTTTGTTAAGAGTTTATAATGGTGAAGTTCTCAATGTTTATAATTATTAAAAAAAAATTCAGACCGAAAATTATAAAATTTTTGATCCAATAAACAAAAATAAATTTCAAATGAAAATTTATAAAATTTTTCTTTAAAAATTGATGATTATCAACGTTGTAAATTCCACCATCATAAGAAATTTTTTCAAATTTATTTATAGTGCGATTCCAGGTGAGATTTTGACTTTTTCGGAGTAGGTTAACCAATTGCAATTGTTTATATACTTGTAAATTATTAAAATTAACCAAGTTAAACTTGCATTTACAATTGGATTCCTTTGGAACATTAAAGATCATTTTAGCGTTTAAGTGATTGAATTTTAGATTGTCGCGTGAAATTTATTCAATTATTATTTAATAATTTTTTTAGTTGTAAAATTATAAAAAATTGTTCTAAAAGAGATTTATTCCTCTCATTTTCCTTGACATTTTAAAAAAAAGTAGACCCCAATCCGATTATTGGAACGGAAGATATATCAGTTTAAAATTTTTTGTTATTATTGCAAATCTCGTAAACTAACAAATATTTTAAGCTGTAATTTACGTTAAAGATTAGTCTTACTATATATAACAAAATTCCAAAGTTTCATTGCAATCGGTTAACCTACTCCGAAAAAGTCAAAATCTCACCTGGAATCGCACTTATGGTAAAAGATTTTTTTTTCATAATATAAGTACTTACAATTTAAATGATGACAAAAATATTTAAAATCCTTGTTTGAATATTCTAGTCCGAATTCATTCAAAACTAATGTTGATATTCATTTCCAATGAATTTATTATATTTCTTTGAAAACACTTGTGCATAAACAAAAACATTTTATAAAATCACAAAATTTCATTTTTTTAGAACTTGAAAATTTTAATTTCAACTTTTCAAAAACGAAGCGTTTCTTCAGCCACTTACGACTAAAATGAAATGAAACCATAAATTGAGATTTACAAAGTTCTTTCTTTAATTTATTTTTAATTACACATATTAGACTCATTAAAAAATTGTAAAAAATGTAATATATAATGCGATGTAAACAAAATCTTATCAAATTGTCTTAAATGATTTTTAATTGAGTAACTATTTTAGTTTGCAGAAATATACATTTTTAGATATTTATTTTGAAACATAAAACTGTAATATATTTTTAAAGTATATATTTTTTAAAATATATGCAAAGGACCCCTCACAAAATATACATTAAAAATCCCTTTTGGGTCAAATTGATTGAAACTTCGTGACAGTGATGTTCAAGTGATTCTAAGCAAAAGGTCTGTTAGTCACGAACCCCCTTTCCGGGCTATATTACCCGTTAGAAGCTTTTAAAGGTCAAAAGAAGTGAGTTACTTTTTGTAACCGTTATAGGGGAGACCGAGGAGGAAAGTAACAGAGGAGGAAAGTAACAAAGCTTATAACTTTTAAACAAATTATCGGATAGACATGGTTCGTTATTTTGTAGCCTTATTATCTGTCTTTAAGTTGTGCTTAAACAAACAATTTAACATTTGTGTAGTTTTAACTTTTTTGTTGACATACAAGAAAAAAGCGACCGAGGAGGAAAGTAACACGCTACTTTTCTCCTGTTGTCGATATTGTCCATGTTTTAACTAATGATTGAAGCAAATCGTATTTAATTTTACGAATAACAGAGATTTATTTAAGAAAAACCTGTGATCTACACGGAGAGAAATCTGGTGCGATTTACGCATGAGCATGTCCTTAGGAATATAGTAACAGACGCTTTCAAGCAAAAATCCTAAGTGAGCGAGGTATTATTGTATGAGTCTCACCTGATATTCAGATGGAATCTTATGGTTTTTGCTTGGAAGTGTCCATGCTATATTCCTTTGGACTTGCTCATGCGCAAATCGCAGCAGATTTCTCTCCGTGTAGGTAAGCATAAAATATCTTTAAGAAAAAAAATTAGCTAAATTCATAAAATGTTCGAAATATGTGCTAAATATGTCCCAAATATGTGCCAAATAAGTATAAAGTGTACTTAAACTTTTATGTGTTCCTAATAAAAATATTTCTAATTAATAATAGTCATTAGTCTAAAGAATTTTACATAATTTTATACTGTTACTTTTCTCCTAGGAGCTTGTTACTTTCCTCCTCGAGGGTGAGGAGGAAAGTAACAGATGAAGAGCTTGCGTAAAAGTTATACTGTGAACTGTCAATTTATTATAAATGTTTAATTCAAATTTTATTTAAAAGGTGAATGTCCAAATTTATCCGACAAATATTTTTAATGCTAGCATAAAAAAACTGATTTTTGTTACTTTCCTCCTCGGTCTCCCCTACCTGTAAAATGCAATATTTTCCTTACTTCTTAGTAAAAACAAACTTTTAAGTTCTAAAAGTAATACTGTTCAGTACACATAAAAAACCTGGTCTCAAAATGAGCAGCATACGCTACTCATTTTGAAGTGCAACAAGAATTAGCCAGGTTGGTGGCGCCACTATCTATGTCGTTTAGCATTGACTTATTTTGAGTTGCAACAAAAATGAGATTAGGTTTTTTCTGTGTACAGTACGGTACAGTACAATAAAGTACGGTACAGTGTGGTACAGTTCGGTACGGTATAGTACAATAAAGTACGGTGCAATACGGTACAGTATGGTAAGGTATGGTACCGTACTGTACCGTATTATTTTTAGAACTTAAAAGTTTGTTTTTACAAAGAAGTAAGGAAAATATTGCATATTTTACAGGTATAACGGTTACAAAAAGTAACTCACTTCTTTTGACCTTTAAAAACTTCTAGCAGGTAATCTAGCCCGGAAAGGGGGGTTGTGACCCAGAGAGCTTTTGTTTAGAATCACTTGAACATCACTGTCTTGAAGTTTTAATCAATTTGACCCAAAAGGGATTTTTAATACATTTTGTGCGGGGTCCTTTACCAATTGAGTATTTATCAATTAAAAATTGTGAGTTGGATTTCTACAATATATACGCAATTCTGCATTTATACACGCAATTTATTGTTCTAGACTTTCTCCAGGTTTGATATTATCAAAATTGTAGTTAAATAAATAATTTTCAAGTAAATTTGGCTTAAAATTTTCAATTTATTTAAATTAAAATTTTTTTGTATCATTTCTTTAAGAATTCGAAAGATTAGAATAAAAAAAAAACAAAAATTTAAAAGCTTTTTAAAAGACATATTTTTATATAATTATAAAGTGTCATTCTAGAAATTTTTGAACAATTTCAGGATTCGGGAAAAATTCCTAACCTAAAAGTGTTTTTCCGCGCGAGATATTACTCGTAAATAACTTGAAATATCTTGTTCGGATTTGTCAGATTAATTAGATGAGGGCGAGCTGATTAAGAAGGGCGATTCACGATTCGCCGCCAACTCATCCCCGTGTACCTGCTCATCAGCGGCAAATTTTCGTCCCCGTATGTTCCCCCACTACCGGCCGTACTGTACCCCTCCTTCCAGTCTGACTGCATGTGTTTTCCACTTCCCCCTTCCCCTTCTCCTGCATAATGAATTTTTTATTTAATTTTTAATTTAATTTTCTTAGATTTTGAATTGAAATTTTTGATAATAATTTAATTTTAGTTGATTGTTGATTGAAAATTTTGATAATAATTAATTTTGACTCGAAATTTTGGAAAATAATTGAATTTTATTTGTTTTTTTTATTTTTATTTATTTTTAACTAACTTACCCCAAATTACTCCACTTTAAATCTTTAATAAAATAATTTCCTCACAATATTATTGCAAAAATGGAGAAGAGTGATGAACTCAGTGACCCTTCCTCTATTATTTCTCCAAATGCCAACTCGAAATACTTTATCCTTTAAAGATGAGAAGAAATTTACGAAACCCCTTTTTGCCAATGTTTAAACATTTTTTTCAATAATTATTTATCAAGATTATGCAAAATTCCGAAAAGAGCCCCTGGCAGATAACCTTCCTCTATTATTTCCAAAAAATTACAATCTAAAATGTTCTATTTTTTTCAAATGAGAAGAAATCTACAAAACCATTATTTTCTCCCGGATGCCATTAAAGGTTTATTTATTTATTAATTATTAATAATAATGTTCCTAAGGCTAATGAGCCCTTTAAGGAACAAATGTTAATTTTATATAACAACATCTTCATTATACAGAGTGTTACAAAAGTATGGAAACTTGCAAATATCTCAAAAAGTACGCATTTTCGTGACACTTCTTTATTCACTGTTGGATTTCGGGACCAATTTTTTTGGCTTCAAAAATGTAGATATTTTTTTTGGGAACAACTTTTGTTTTGGATATTTTTCACGAAAATACGTACTTTTCGAGATATTTGCAAGTTTTCATACTTTTGGAACACCCTGTATGTAATTATAGATGAAGGAAAAAGAAGTATTTACGTAGAATATTATATTATACATTTTAATTTATTTATAAAATTAAATTATTTTAAATTTATTTTATGAACAATAATTACCAACATAGGTTATAAAGTTACATTGGATTTTATAAAAAAAAATGTCAAAAATATAAATTGATAACAATGAATTATTTATCTTTTCACGACAATGACATTCATTTCTCTATTTTTAAATTTTAGCTTTTGACATAAAACCATGGTTTTCTGGTATTTTAAAATGAATATAATTTGTATCAACAACAATTCTAAATAATTAACTGCAACGACCATAGTAATTCAATTTTTGTTTATTTTGTACACGGAGAAAAAAGTGAGCTGTTCTCACTCGTCAGGGAGCAGCAGTGTCGCCGCGAAAGAAGAACTGTTTATCTTTTGAGGAGTAACCGTTCACCTTTTGTCGTTTCACCTTCAGGAAAGCTATGTAATCCGCTTTCCTCAAAAAGCGTACTCGTGTGGTACTCGTAACAGCTGACTCTCGTTAAAGAGAACTGCTTTACCGGCGGGTTAAGCGGTTCTCCTTTTTTTTCTCCGTGTATATAAATCGTCAAAACACAAACAATATAACAAAACTTTTCGTACAGTTATACAAAAATTGCGAATTTCTACCTATATCAGCAGAGCCAACATTTAGAAATAAAGTATGTACATGTGTTCTGATTTGTGGAAATTGGACAGTTTATCCTATTTCCACCATTGGTAATACAGAGATGATTTTAATTCATGAAAACGTAATCTAACGTAACGATCAAACGAATTTAAATGTTTTTACGTATATATGTATATATATATATATATTCAACCCTGGTACATAACCTAAAAAATTTTAAAGTGCTCACGCGCACGTGTTTCTGCTAAATTTTTGTTTTTGTATAGAATAACAAGAACATTTTTCAAAAAATGGGAAAACAGAAACGTCAACGACACAAACAACATAAACAAAATCCAACTGGATTAATTAGTGAAAAAGATTTTGACGAGGAATTAGAAGATGTATCAGAGGAAACTAAAGAAAAAGCTCTACTTAGGGTTATGGAGCAAGTAAGATTTTTCTTTTTCAAAACTTTTGTATTTTTATATAATAAAAAAAAGATGTATTTTTAAATATATATAATTAAATTAAACTATTAAATAACAATAATTATTATTTAAATAGTTTAAAGATCTTTTAATTAATAATTTTAATAAGTGTATTTTTTTTTATTATTATTTTTGTTGAATGTTTTTTTCCCTATTTATCCTAACGAAGGAAAAATGTATCTAATTTTTATTTATAAATTGATTTTTTTTTTTTTTTATTTTAGTTAAGTTCTGCAGATATGGAGGAGAAAATGTCTGGCCTTCAAACATTGGAGTCAATGAGTTATGAAGAATCGATGGCTGTTAAAATTGCCAAAGATAATATTGCAAAAATTGTCGGACCTTATTTAGTTGATGAAAATAAATTAGTGAGAGCAGCCGCTGCAAGTACATTAAGAATTATTGCAGAAAATGGCGGTGAAGAAGCTTACACGTGTCTTTTAAAAGATGATCTTATGACTCCACTTACAGCATTATTGAAAAATGTAATTAATTTTAAATTGACTATAAATATTATTTTTAATTATTATATTTTTATTTCATATGCAATTTAATCTATTATCTTCAAATTTTATTTTCACTAAATATACTTTTTATTTAATATATATATATAAACATGTGTTTCAAATGAAGGAAATATTTTTTTTTGCCTATAACTTACTAATTTATTTTTTGATATAGAAAGCAATATTTTATAATAAAAATTTAAAAAATGTAAATAAATTTTTTATTCATTTGAAGTTAGGCACATTAAATAAATTTCGTTTATTAATCTATTATTTAATTTTTTTTTTCAAGCATTATTTAAATTGGCATCCAAGTACGGACCCGAAAGAAAAGGAAAAAGTCGAACAGGAAAAGCAAATTTTTGTCGAGGCTGTAACATTACTGTGGACATTAGGCGAGAAAAATGAATGTGTCATTAAACGTTCGAATGAGGAGAATTTGCTTTCGATTTTAATTAAATTTCTTGACACGTCAACATATGGAATAAGATTGAGCATTGTGGCAATTCAATGTATGCTCACATTATCCGAAGACAATCCAACGGCAATTTTAGAATTAAAAAAACAAGAAAGCACCCTCATTAATTATCTTGATTGGAAACCTGAAAATGAAAATATCATTAATACAATGTCACTGCGCACTCTGGCAGCGGGATTATTAATGAATATAAATAATTCATTCACCACTGAAATTGATTCATTGAAAATTGCCAGTAAAGTTGTTACAATACTCACCGATACACTCACTCTCGATTATCAACAACAAACAGAATTGTTGACTAAAGCATTTAAAAATGAAAAAAATCTCACTCGCAATTCGAGGAAAAATATTCGCGAAATCAATCAAATTGCATCGATTCAACAGCAAGCCTTGGAGATTTTAGCGAATTTATGCACAGACGATCAGGAGAGCGATGAGGAATCTGATTTTGATGATTCCGATGAATATGAGGAGGAAATGGATATTGATCCAATGGAGGATAAATCAATTAATTCTTATTCAAATATTCCTGTGGAATTGATTGAAGTCATTGCAAGTACTGATTTAGTTAAAAAAGTTTGGAGCAAAACGGAGAAAATCAATGAAAATGTGATAAAAACTTTTGATTTAAATCCCGAGGGTATTTTTATATTAAAACGTCTTCGTGTGTTGAGATGTCGTGCTTTTCTTTGTTTGAATAATTTATTCTCGAGTTTAGATGTCGATACTCTTGGCGGTGTTGATAATTTGTACAGGTATGTTTTCTTTTTATTAGATTTTTTTTGCGCAATTAAAATTTAAAAATGAAAAAAAAAAAAAAATTAATTAAAGTAATGGACAATTAATTACGTTTCATTCAAAGTCATTTATAAAAATCAATTTTTACCTTACTTTTGTACTAATCAAGAAATTATTTATAAACTTTTTTTAATATTAAATATTTTCAATTGTTAAAATAATTTTTTTTCTCCTTGTAACTCAACTTTAAAATTTAAATTCAAATTTAAAAATAGAAATTTTTTTAAAAATAATTGCAAAAAAAATTTATGAATATAGAAAATCATTTCTATTAATTATCATATTTTTCTAAAAATAGTCTTAAACGATTTTGAATGAAATATATTGCTTTTTGCTTTTTCTTTATTAACTTTTTCTTAATTTTTCTAACTCGTAGCAATTTTGAATTAAAAAGCTTGAAAATTTTGGAATTTACGGGATTTAAAAGAAAAAAATTTGTAAAAAATGTTATGGAAAATTTTAAAATATACGTGTTTTTTTTTTTATTTTTCAAAGTGATTAATATATTTTATTGTGTAGTTAATTCTCAATATAAAAAAAATAAATTACTTTGATTTTATTAGAAAATTTCAAAAATATAAATGAATAATATAAAAATAAATAATTATTTGAATTGAAAAATTAAAATGTGAATTAGAAAATGTTTTGAATTTTCAGATTGTGGAGCGAAATTGGAAAAGTAGTTTTTACTGATGCCGATCCAAATGATATTGATTTATTGGAATCGGCCACATCAGCAATGCGTGCAGCTTTACAAAAATTAGCGGAAGTAAAAGCAAATGTATTTCAGCAATTAAGTGTTGTCGATTTACAGCCAATGTGTAATGGCGAGAGGCAATGTTCGAATGCAAATGTAAGGGCTAATTTACTCAGGATTCTTGGAAATCTCGCTCTAATTTTACTTAATGTTCAAAATCCACAATCACTGGAATTAATCAAGGTACTCTTTTATTTATCCAGTATTTTTTTGCGTTCAAAATTCTTTAAAAAAAGAAATTTTTTTGTCTCAACCGTCGAAATTGAATTTAATAAAATTATTTTGTTTTTTTTATTTGCTGATGAATTAATTTTAATTATTTCAGCACATTTCTGTCTTCCTTTTGGAAACATGTACAAAAGAAAATGAAGTTTGGGTGATTGCGGAATCTTTGGATGCCATAATGGATATTTTTGCTGAAGATGAAACAGACACTTTAGCAAAAGAAATCAATTTAGTCGAGAAACTTAAGTCTTTTATGTCTATTTTAAAGAATAAGGTAAGTGGTAAAAAAAAGTCGATGAATCACAAATCAAAAAAAAAAAAAAAAAGAAAAGAAATACAGCGAATAATGTTGCAAAATCATTAAATGTATATAGTGGAAATTGAATATCGATTATGTAAGAAAATAAGAAACTGGTTTTTATTTGCAGATACGACAGCAGAAACAGAAGCTTGGCGATAACGCTTCAGTTGTGTCGACAGTGAAGACGAATTTGAACAGATTTATCAAATATAAAGGTCAGAGAGTTGCGCAACTTTAAAATGCAAATATTTGAATATTACAGTAAAACTTTTACTGTACAAGAAATATTATAAATTTTTATATAGAATAATTTTTATATTTCTATTGAAGAATTATTGTTTTTAAATAAGATTTATCTATAATCTTGATAATTTCATTTTTTCTTTTTCATTTAATCCTCTTTAGTTTGTAGATAGTAAGCGAATTTTAATTATCTAGAAGAAAGACATGAAATGAAAAATAATTTTAGAATTTTAAAATTAATTTTTGATTATTTTTCTTAAATTTAAGAAATTTTTTTTAACAAAAAATTAATAATCATCTTTGACAGAATGAAAAAACATTTTTTGCATTTCAGAAAAATGTATTTTTCTTTTTGTGCGAAATTCTATAAATATACTTTATTATTAATATTATAGCAATGTACACTGTCGAATTAATATTGATTATTAAGGAGCAATTTTGAAATTTTCAAAAATAAATAATAAAAATAGAGTTTAACGATTTTTGTCAAGACTTTCATAAAGTCGACAAAAAATCACTTTTTAAAACATAATTTTTTTTCAATATGCTCCAACGCAACTTTCTACGTAACAATAAAAACTTAATCACAATAAAACAAAATTAATTTTCTAGAATAATTTCAAAATTTCGAGGAAAAACAATATTGTTCTGTTAATACAAATGGAATCGTAAATTAAATTCTAAATTCGATAAACAATTAAAAACTGCAGTCTATCAAATATTTTTTTCGCATCTCATTTTGCGTTTTTTCTTCAAATATTAAAAAAAAAAAAAAAAATCGATCATTAAGAAATGCGATTCATCAATATTTACTGATTGAAAACATTTACAATGAACTTCCAATCGGATGTGAATCTTCCCGTTTAATATCACCGTGAATGGAAGGCTGTCTTTCGAGACTTAAGGCACTATTTCGTCGTGGTTTTGGAATTGGATTATCCGACAGAATTTCTGGTTTCTGACGAATTGGCTCGTGAATATGTAATTCGATAATTTTAACTGGATCTTGCGATGCCTCGACAGAAATTGGTGGATCCGTTAATCGAATAACGTGACAATCGGTTTGCTCACGGGGAAGTTCTTTCAATTCAACTTTAACTCCCCCCGTTGTTGAATCATTGACGAGATCCTGAAAAAAATGACGACGATTTTCTTCAATTGAACATCGTCCATAATTTTTATATTGATCGGTCGAGTCTTCCGATTTTCGACGTAATTCAAGATCATTTAATTTTTTCTCAATTTTCTCAATTTGTTCCTTGACACAAAAACTATTGCTTCTCGATAATGTGGGTGATTTTTTCTTTTTTATTAAATTATCCTGAGGAATAACTTCCTTAATTATTTCTAATGAATCTTCCGATTTCTTTCGAAGTTCCACTTCGACTGCTTCTTCGTTCTGGGATAATTGAATTTCAATTTTTGTTTCGCTGGATATTATTTCATCTTGTAAATTTTTCGACGTGTCTTCATTGTCCTTTAATTTAACAGATGATAATTCAATTTGGGAACAATCTTTTGGTAAATTTTCTTTGGAATTTTCGGCTTCTTCAATAATGTTTATTTCGAGATTTTGTGCAATCTCGATGTTCTTTTCACTTGGACTAGATTTTTTTGATGTGTCATCATTATCATCATCAATTTGAGTTTTTTTTGTGAGTTCTTCAATATCTTCCGCGACACGAGATATTTCTAATGGATCAGCGACTGGAGTTTCCAGTATTCTTGATTCCGACAAGGAAACGTTACCTTCCTAAAATTAAGAATTTTATTGAAATAACATTTTTTTGATGCTCTAATTTTTTTTTGTAAAAAAAAAATGTTACATTGAAAACTTTTAATATGTTAATATTAATTATTAATATTATTAGTAAATAAAAATTATAAAATAAATACCAGTGAAATATAAATAAAATTTAAATATTAATTTTGTTTCTTATTTTTTATAATTTCTTTTTTAATTTTCAAAGGATAATATAAATAATAAATAGAATTAGATGAAATTTTGGAGATAAAATCAAATGGAAATTTATAAATTAGAAGAAAAAAGAACGAACCTCTGTAGTTTCCACAGGGTTTTTGAGTTTTGGAGGAAGAGGTGCTCTTCTTTTTTTTCTAGTGTAACCGCTTGCGTTACTCGAAATCGAGATGCAACTATTAATTGACAAATTCGATTTTCTCACAGCATCATGACTAAATCTCTTAAATATATAATCATCAGGCACGTTTTCATTTTCATCTCGAAGAGTGACATCACCTGATTTCAAGCCCTCTTCTTCAATATCTGACGATGGCGAAAATCTCTGCGACGCTCTTAAACCACTTCGTCTATATAAAATATAATTTAAATTATATTAACAAAAAAAAAAAAATAATATTCAAAGAACTTGAAAAAAATTATTTTTAAATATAGTTATGTTACAAATATGTTGACAAAGTGAATCAATTTTTTTTTTTTAAGAAACAAAAATTTTCATGTTTTTTTTTTAATTTTACTTTTAACTATAAATTATTTAAATTTTGTATAAAAATTTTCAAATTAACATATTTTTGTTTGAAAAATTTTAAACTTTTAGAAATTGATTAATTTTACAACAAAATGTTTTATTTTCGATACAAATTATTAAATAATTATGAAATTTTAAAACTAAAATTTTAAAAGTAATCGGATATTTTATAGAATTATATAGTGATAATTATTGAACAATAATGTTTTTAAAATGAAATTTTTAAATATCAACCTGGGTGGAATTGGTGCACGATCAGGTTCCCTATCGTCTCCAACTAAATATCCATTGGATAAATGTTCCTTTCCTTCAAAATCAAGAGGAGGAATTTTTTCTTTCGGCTTTGGACTCACTTGTCCAAATCTATTTTAAACACGAGAAAAAATACTAATTAAGAAAAATTAATATATATATATTTAAGAAAAATCATTGAATATTTTTTAAAGTCTTTCAATTGGTAGGTGGTTATTTTTTCTAAAAAAAAAAAAATTTTCTAATCCTTGCTTTCTAAAAACAATCTTCTTTAATATTAGTTCTCAAAAAAAAAATTTTTCTAACAAGTTTCGATTTCAAAAAATTTTTAAAGACTACAAATTTCTACAAATAAAATTCTACAATTCTACAAATTCTACAAATAAAAATTTTGACTGATTGGAAAACAACTAATAAATCTTCTCCGAAGTTGCTTTCGAATTTCCATAATTTCAAATATTGAACTGTAATAGAATTTTTTTTTTAATTAAACTTTATTAGAAAAAAAGTTTTTAGAAATTGATCTTTTTTTTTGAAATTCAATTTTATTAGAAAAAAAATAGAAAATATATTTTATCCCAATACTTTCAATTTTTCCACGAATAATAAAAATTAAGAATGAAAAACTGAAAAGCTTTAAAAAATATTTATAAAACCTTTAGTATTCGTTGATTCAAATTATTTTGACATTATATTTAAGAATAATTTGATTTCAACGCTGAAAATTTATAAACTAAATAAAATAAAAAATAAATTAATATTAAAGTAAAAAAAATTAAAAACAAAATATTATATACAAAATAAAAATAACTATATAATAAAAAGTAAAATATTAATAATTGTCAAATTCATATTTAATAAATGTTAAAAAAAAAAAATTTTGTGTTCAATTTAAAAAAATTACTTTCGTGCTGGGGGTTTTGGTGTGAGATCTCCCATAATCGAAGCGGTTGTTTCTTGAGGACTTCCATCATATATTCTGGCAGGATCGCCATTCACAGTCAGACTAGAATTGTATCTGGAACCATTGTCCAAAGTGTATTTCCTTCTTCTTGCCAATGTCCCTAATGCTTCATCAAATTCCTGTTGATCAGTTAACGTTTTCGATTGTCTACCATTTTGGCTAGAATTTATAGTATCTCCTCTTTTATACGTCGTGGAAACTATTGATGAAAAATTTATATTCAAAGTGAGATTATAATGTTAGTTTTCTTATTTTACATATTTTTTTTTATTCAAAATTGTATTAAAAATTGACGATTTTTTTTTTTTAATATTAAACAAAAACTATTTGAAATTAAATATCAAATTATATTGATTTTTAATTAATTAATCAAACACCACAACTACGTAATTATTAATAAAATTGATTTTTAAAAAAATGAATCGTTTTTTTTAGTTTGTCAAAAAAAAAAAAAAAAATTGATTATTTTTAATTGATTAAAACATAAGATAGAAAAATGAAAATATTTTTCATACCTGTTGTAATCATTGAGCGACGCTCGGGCGCTTCCGGAGCCTCTTTACACTTTCCGAACAAACCATTCCTGCGATAAGATAAAACATTTAGTCATAAATATTCTCGATTTTGTGTTTCGTGTACTTTTACACTAAACTACAAATTATTCACAAAATTACTTATGACTTTATACATCGAATTTTCTATTAATTCATTTATTTTTTAAATCAAAAGTTTTATCTATTTTATAAATTTGTTTCTATTATTTTAATTTTATAATAATAATAATAATAATAATAATAATAATTTTTATGTAATTTATTCCTTTATTATAATTATCAATATAATTATTGTTTTTAGAAATATTTTTTTCTTGGTGTTCTAAATCTTCTTGTCAGTAATTTAATCGGCAATTCTCAGGTCTCAGGATTAATTTTTGTTGTTCTTGAAAAATTACATTTTCTTATTCGACTTTTTTTTTTTACAAAAATTATGTTTTTTTTCTTAATATCACGAAATATTGTAATACGTTATATCTATTTCTTTTCAAAAAATTCACCGAATTCATATGAAATATGAAAGAATGTCTAAAAATAAAATTTGCAAAACTTTTACTTTGTTTTAAATATAGAGTTTTTTTTACGGATACTGGAGAGAGGAGATTATGTGTCATCATTTTTTTTTTTATCTTTCGAGAGATAAAAAAAAATACATTCACACGCCTCAAAGCAAATGAAAAAATCGTGACGCATGAGTATTTCCTAAAAATTAGTTTTTATTGAATATTTACAACATTGAATTTCTATTATTATAACCGTAAATTGTTATTAATTAGTATACTTTTATGATTAATTTATGATTAATTCGAAAAGATAATAATTCAATGAAACGAATATCAATATATAAATTCTACTTTATATAAATTTGGCTAGATAAAAGTTTAACAATAATTTAAATTTTGATACATTGGAAATTTGGATTAATATTTTTTATAAGGAAATATTATATGAAAATTCGATAATTTTGAAATAATTATTGTGATTCTTTATGTATTATATGTTTGGACCATATTTTGACCTTGATAACGAAACGGTCGAATTAAGGAACCATCAGCCGAGGTCTCGACGGCAGTAAATTGTGCGTTTTGCATTAAATGAATCACGTGGCATATCGTTTGCATAAAACTGCGGATGTTTGCTCTAGTTGTTCATCATATTGTAATTTTTACATTTTGTTCACAAAAAAAATTTATACCTATTCCCTCTAAATAGAAAATTTGACAAAAAGAATTTTTTTTTTTATTTTCAATATAAATTAAAAAAAATTAGAAATTTAACATAAACTTTGTAATTAGAAAAAAAAATTTTTAATTAATTGAAATAAAGAACATAAAATTTTTGTTTTATAAATTTTTTAAAAGTTACTACAGTAATGAAAAATATTTTATTTATTTTTTTGAATTAATTTTCTAAACAATAATTCACGCACCATTAATTTAAAACAATAAAATACAATTATTTAAATAATTTATTTAATTTTCTTCTAAATTCAATTATTTTAATTTTCAGTTAAATCTTTATTTTAATGGTATTATTATATATATTTTTTTTAACAAGACCAACAAAGATACGCTTCAACCACGAAGCTGAAGTACGCAACGATTATGATAAACGATTTTTAAAGAAATAATTATTTAAAATGGAAAATTCTATAATTCTTTGCTTAAAAAATATTTCTTTTAGTTTTCATTAATCAATAAATTATAAAAAAAATATTTTGTAGGCAAAAAATTATAGAATTTTTCATTTTAAAAAATTATTTTTTTAAAAATCGTTTATCATATAAACGTTGCGTACTTCAGCTTCGTCTTCAACCCTTCTAAAGAAAACAGATATCTATAACAAAAATCTAGTTGAGTCCACATAGACAAATCGCCGATCTATTAATAATTTTAGAAATAATATTTTTTGATATTTAAAAAATGGATAATTATAATTATTATCTAAGCGATTTACTTGGAAGCATATAAATAAATAGTGATGAATCTTTGAACTTTGATCAAATTAATATTTTCTTTTATATATAAAATGTATGACTTATTTATATTTATGTAAACTATCGATAAATATATATATATATATATATATAAAATAAAGAAATGCAGTTCATTAAAACGTCATACGATCAAAGTTGGATTATTGGATCACGATATAAAATAGATCACATTGCGAGACTACTCATGCGAGAACAGAGCCGTCGATTATTTTGCGTATATATGATAATATAAGTCGGGCTCATTGTCAACCCCACACGCTGCGCGATTTAAGTTTTATGTCGAGTCGGCTCTTTATTTTTTTCTTTATCTCTCGAGAAATTTAATTTTTAAACATCTCTCATAATCTATATAAAATTCGACATTTTTTTTTTTTTAAAATAACGATTTTTTTCAAAATTTCATTTAACCAATATTAAAAAGAAAAAGAAAAAATAGCACGAAAAATTTTATGAGAAAATTACAATGGGCGCAAATTGAGTTCAAAGTATTTGAAACTCGGTGCATGTGTTCTAACATGACCCGAAAAGCCATTTAAAAAAGTATTCGATTATAATTTTTCAAAGAATATTTAATTTATTATTCTACTAATTGTAAGATTTAAAAGAAATTTTATTTTTTTTTGTTCAAGAAATTTCTTTATTTATTTATTATTATTATTATTATTATATTAAATAAATATTCATTCAAGAAATTTCAGAAATATCTGTTTCTTTCACTATTTGAAAAAAGTTTACAACTTGAAAATTATAAAATCGAATAATAAATTTATTTAAATTTTTGAAAAAAAATTTCTTATTTTACACATTTTATCAAAGTTTAAGGATTTCTGCTTTCGATTTTTATATATAAAAAAAAAAAAAAAAAAAAAAAAAAAAATCTTGACAAGTAATATTTGTAAAAAGGTCAGGAACTTGAAATAAAAACTTGTGGGATTGAAGAAAATTATGGCAAATGAAAATGCAAATATGTTTGCAAAATGATGTAATAACCCCGTAATATTTATATATATATAAACATTTTGCAGAGGTGTTATCACAATACTGCGTTATTATCGCGACTTAGCACTTTAATATTTTGAATAAATACATAATATTAACTCCACACGATATCATTAAGAAAATACAATTACAAATTAAAATGGCTCAATATCATGAAATCTTTTTTAAACAATTCAAATTATCACAAATTAATTAATCAAAATATTATTACGAAAAAAAAATATTTGTAATTATTGTCATTTATAAATTAATCAATTTTTTCTTTTTAATTATAATTTCATAAATTTATTAAATAAGCCATGATTTAAAAAAAAAACTTTCAAAATCAAAATTAAATTAACTAAATTTTTTAAAAAGTAAAAAATTTATTTATAATTCTTTTTTTGTCTCAGAGAGTATATTGAATGAAATTTTCGGTCAAGAATCAGTCAAGTATCTTTGTTGATGTGTGTGTGTAATAAAAATAGATTCCTTTCAAGTGTAACAATAGTTGACGATTTCTATTTTGCTTATATTCAAAAGAGATATATCGACTGTTAACGATTAAATTGGCAATTCAAAGATCTACGAATTGCGTTTCGACATGGTCATTGGATCATTTCTAAATCTCAATTACGTTGGCGTTACATAGTTGGATCATTTCCGTTTCCTCTAGATTCTTACAAAGGTAAAGTGAGATTTTCTTGTTCACTTTGTTTTTCCGCATTACTAAAATAACTTTTTCCTCGGAAATTACAGTTACAAACTTTTCTTAATCCACATTTTCAATTTCTGGAAATTGTTTTCTAATTTGAAATTCTCATCTTCTATGATGAATTATTTTTAACTACAAAATTATATAATTTTTTTTGTTTTAAATTTTAATTCATTTTCAGTGTAAAATTTTTTTTACCTTTTTTTTGCAACTATAGAAAATTGTTTTTAAAAATATTAGATAAATTTCATTGTCAAACACTTATAAATGCAAATTTAAAATTAAAATTGATAAAAAAATAATTTTCTATTTAAAATGTATGAAAATTATTATTATTATTATTATTATTCTTGTGATAGGTAATAATAAGAATTATATATATTCAAAATTATTCAATTTTTATATTAGTAAAACAATGATTTCAATCTGCATAGAAATAGGTTTATTAGTAAAATTATAGTTTTTATGAAAATTTTTTTTTCTTTCCAGGTAATACATATTCTGGATATTTTAATAATTTTTATTTTTTCAAATTAAAATTAAAGATTTCAGGGAAAAAAATGTACATTTAAAATTTATTGATTAACATTTCTTGGCCGAAAGAAGTAATAAAATAATATAATAATAAACAGTTATAAAATAGGATATAAAGTTAAGATATGCTATACTTTTTTTTTAAGGAACCGTATATATAGATATAAGAAAGTTATAAGTGTGCCATCTGGATTGTCGCCAAACCTGTAGAGTTCAAGTTCAAGAAACTTTCTCAAAATTTAAATTCTACTTCGAAATAAAAAATTTTCATAAATGAATTTGTTTCAACTAAAAATATAATTATATTATTATAGTAAATCTCAAAAACTAATATTACTTTATAAAATTAAATACTAGATTTCTTATTTCAATTAACAATTATTAAAATAAACTTTTATTAATTTTTGATTATTTCTTTTAATTTTTAGTTCCATTAATTTAGTTGAATTTCAGTAATCATTTTTCTTTTTGTATCAAATTAATATTAAACAATAACAATAAAAAAATAAATAAAAATTTTTTAAAAATTATTTATTATTGTAATTATTAATATTTTGGTTAAAATTTACTCTATTTTTAGATTTTATTTTCCTTTTGCATAAAACAAGTATTTAAAAATTGATTAATAAACTAATTTTTTTTTTTTTCCCAACTTGTAAACTTACCATGTTGATTTTATTGAAAAACTATGAGACCTCTTTTTTCTTCCTTTACCAAAACTCCAAAATTTGTGTTTTGTTTCCTTTTCCGTTGATTTATTATCTTTGCGCATTTGCATAGTAACACTGGAACTGTTATCATTAAATGGATTTAAATGCTCCGGATAATCATGGATGGAAATACTGGGACGTCGACTTGGTTTCGACATTTTTTTTTCCTTTTCTATCGTTAATGATTATTTATCTCGAATTATTATTAAAGAAAAAGTAGACAATCTGTTATCGTCAGTGCTTTAATCTCCTCATTTTCAAAAGACCTCTTATCTGAAAAAACAAATGAAATAACTCATTATCGTATCAATAAATATAATATTAATTATCGATAAATCATAATTCTTTATAATCTATGAGTAATATTTATATAAGGTATAAAAAGTTTTTCATTTTTTAAACACAAATTTTTTAATTAAAAAAAAAAATAATTACAAAAATAATTCATCAACAAAATTCTTGATGAATATTTAATAAAATATTTTTGAAATATCAATTAAATTATTAGGGAAATTTTATCAAAAAAATCTTGAGAATTATTTTTGCTATTATTTCTTAAAGAAGATATCAATAAAAATTTTTTGTAAAAATTTAATCAAAAAATATTGGAGAATATTCACTAAAAAAATCTTCGGGAATATTTATACAAAATTTTGTGGAATATTCCTCCAAATTTGCGACCACCAGAATTTTGATAAATTTTTTCCCAAAAAAAATTTTACAATGATAATTTAAAAAATTTGATTAATTTTTTTTAAATTTATTTAATTAGACAACTTTTATCAATAGAAATGATTTCATTTAATATAAGAAAAATATTTAAAAACAGAATTTTAAATGAAATTCTTCCTGACTAAATTATAAATATTATTAAGAACATCTGTCAGTATAGTTATCTGGCTTGAGATGTTCAAAGATTGTGATTAAAAGCGATAACAATCATTGAGACTACCCTGCGTTTTAATTTAATATAAGTGAATTGATGTACAATTTGCTTATAAGAAACCAGTAGTCACAAACAATACACTCGGTAACCAGACGGTCTAATTAGGTCACAATTGCATCAATGACATTGCTATAATATCATCTCAAATAAAACGCACTATATTTAAATTCAGTCTCGTTTGTATATAGTTTAATACATAAAAGTTTTATTTTTATAATTAAATATTTTTCAAAACTTAAATCCGAAAATTTAAAATACAATTGTTATATAGCAAATAGTTTCCTATTATTCTATTAATAAAATTAATTATTTAATTTAAAAAATATTTCACATATTCAACTCTTATTGATGACTAAATTGTATTGTTCACAATTTTCACTATATCTTAATCTATGAATTTAAAAAACAAATATTTATTTAGCTCTGAGATAAATATAATATCTTTTCTGCATATTTTGATAATTTAACGACCCCAAGAGGCGCATGATTTTTCCCAAAAATTAAAAAGTTCGAAATTTTAATTGATCGAATAGACCTTTTCATGCTGTTCGTTCTGTCCTTATCTAGCGCATACAATGACGCATGAGTTGGAAGAGGACAAAATGATCAGCATGAAAAGGTCTATTACTTTAAGTCGATATTTTATTTGGTCGAAATTCTAAAAGAACGACAGTTATGAAAGTCGACATTTTATTTAGTCGATATTTTATTTGATCCAAATTCTAAATGATCGATATTTAAAGTGGTTGACATTTTATTTAGTGAATATTTTATTTTATCGAAATTCTAAATGATCAATATATAAAGTGGTCAACAATTTATTTAGTCGATATTTTATTTAGTCGAAATTTTAAATGGTCGATATTTAAAATGGTCGACATTTTATTTATTCGATATTTTATTTGATTGAAAATCTAAATGCTCGATATTTAAAGTGGTCGACATTTTATTTAGACGATATTTTATTTGGTCGAAATTCTAAATGGTCGACATTTAAAGTGGTCGAAATTTTATTATTTCGATATTTTGTTTGGTCGATATTCTAAATGATCCACATTTAAAGTGGTCGATATTTTATTTGTTCGATATATAGCTAAAAAAGTGTCGAGCTTTTAAAATATCGACCAAATTAAATTTCGAAGGATATAAAATTCGATGCTTCTAAATTTCTATCATTTAGAATATCGAACAAATAAAATATCGACCACTTTAAATGTCGTTCATTTAGAATATCTACCAAAAAAAATATAGAACTAATAAAATTTCGACCACTTTAAATGTCGATCATTTAGAATTTCGACCAAATAAAATATCGTCTAAATAAAATGTCGACCACTTTAAATATCGACCATTTAGATTTTCAATCAAATAAAATATTGACTAAATAAAATGTCGACCTTCATAAATGTCTATCATTTAGAATTTCGATAAAATAAAATATTCACTAAATAAAATATCGGCCACTTTAAATATCGATAATTATAGAATTTCGAATAAATAAAATATCGACCAAATAATATTTTTTAATGAAGCAAAAATGAAAATACGTGTGTTATTATATCCTACGAGGGAAAAAAAAGAATATTTTTATTATTCTAATAAATAAAAAGTTATAAATTTTTTCCTATGCTTGCAGTTTGTATGAAAAAAGCGTGAATTCAAAACATATTATTGAAAAAATACAAAATCAATAAAAGTGCAGGATTTGTTTTGTTTTGATGCGTTTGACCTTGTCGAAAAAAAAAATTTATATTTTAAAAAGAGTAAAGGGGTTGGGTACAAATTACGTAAGGATTAGTTTACATTAAAAATTTTGGGACGCATGAATATATTCTCTTCATTAGACTTGACGGAATTTTTGTAGTCTCAAATTAAAAATTATCGAATTTACATTTAGTAGAATTTAAAAAAGAAGATTTTATAATTAGCCAAATTTTAATGTCGAAAAATTATTATTTAACAAAATTCTGATTTTATAGAATTTCTATTTAACTGGACTGTGATAAAGCTGATTTTCTAATTATATCGAATTTTCAAATAATACAATTTTCATTTAACAAAATTGATATCTATAGAAAAATTTTTATAAAAAAGAATTTTTATTTATCAGAATTTTATTAACAGAATTTCCAACTAAAAGAATTTCTATTGTAGGGTCAGCCGGGGTAAATCAGAACGGGGGGTAAATCCGAACGCTAATTATTTCAGCTTAATTAAAATTTTTAAAAATAAGTTCGATATGAGAATTTTTACCTCAGATCCTCTTCAAGAGATTCTAAGTATTATCCCATTTTTCGTTTGTTAATTAGCAACAGCATAAACAAAGATAACGAGTATTGCAAAAAAGATTGAAATTCAAAGATGACACTCTTTCAGTATTTTGTCTCGTATTTGAAGAAAAAAAGAAGCTAAAAATTCATTTTATTATTTATAATTGTTTGTTATGAATACTAGAACAGAAACTATTTTTGATTTTTGCCTTCTGTAAAATTTTATTAATAATATCAGACCGTTCGTATTTACCCCGTAAAATTGGAAAACCGGGGTAAATCCGAATGGTATTTTCAATAATTTTTTCTTATATCAGAGCCACACAAAATTCTTTTTATTTGATTACACTATTATTTTGACATTATAAAAGTACATAGAAATAAGTTTTTCTTTCTATACGTATCCTCGTTAGTAATTAATAAGCAGAAACTTAATCTCTGTTCTCTCGAAGGAGTGTTTCAATTTTTTTGCCAAATGGTTTGTTGAAAAAAGTTTTTCAGGATCTTAATAAAATTTCGTATTCGACGGTTTTTGGGGTCGCTAATTACCAATTTGAAGTCAGTTTTTTAAAATTCAAAATGGCGGACGAGAATTAAAAAAATTCATTGGATTTGCTCGAAAATTGTTACTCGGGGGGTTTCAGGGTCGCTGATTACGAATTTTTGATCATTTTTAAAAATAAGTTTTAGGAAAGTCTGCCATTTTGAATTTAAAAAATTTGACTTTTATTTTTGTATTTACATTCAATCACTCCAAAATACTTTCTGTAGCAAGTTTTGCAAAAATCCGTTATGATTTGATAAAGTTATTGAAGGTTTTAATTGTGTAATGCATTTTAATTTTTAACCTGTTTGATTTTTGTATTTATATATGATGCATTATTACATATTAGGTTTATTATCCTATTTTTTTGAGTTTTTATATAAGTTTAACAATTGCAATATGTACTTTAAATTTATTTTTCCTAAGATTTTTCTGAAATACAGTGGCGTTCGTATTTACCCCGGTATTTTAGGAAAGTTGCAAAGTATCGAGATAAATACCAGAATACCGAAAGTATTGTCTTTTAAAAGAAAAACTTATGTTATTGTTGAAACTTACTAAAAGCGTTCGGATTTACCCCGGCTGACCCTATCAATTTTGTTAAATGGAAATTGTATTATTTGAAAATTCGATATACCTATTAGAAAATCAGCTTTATCACAGTCCAGTTAAATAGAAATTCTATAAAATCAGAATTATAAAAATTATAAACAAAAGTCACGTAATATAAATAATTTTTAATTTATTTTTTAGTTCTTTAAAAAAGCCTTACTTAATTTATACACGGCCCTTAAGAGATGGAAATTTTACGTTATTCAAAATATAACAGTTTTTCTTGAATATTTCGAAAAGGGGAGTAAAAAGATGGAAATTTTTTTTCATAAGAAAAAAATATAAGCAATAAATTTTGCTATAAAAATAAATATAATCGAACTAAATTTAAATTCGAAAGTTGAATTTAAAGTGCACAGAGTACCTATTTGATGATAAAACCAAATTTAAATTTCAGATTATCTCATGGTGTTAAACCTCCTTTAAAAAAAAACAAACAAACAAATTTTTTAACCTTTGGATTCAGTAACCTTTAAAGTTTTTTATTGAATACAAATAAATTATATTTGATTCGAAAAAAAAGTTCTTTGGATGTATACCAATATAGAAAAAAAAGTGCATCAATTAATATTTTTGATTAAAAATAATTAACAATTTTTTTTTTAATTTCTAGAAGAAAAATATACTAATGTATAACAGTGTTGTAAGTGATAAAATGCATCACGTGATTCAATGCTTATAACTTTAATAAATGCAATTAGTTCAATTAGTCTACTCTGCACGCCATTTACTTTTCATCTCCAGCTTGTCAATAGATTCGTGCAACAACTCTTTTTCACGCTTTCATATAACAATAATTAAGTGTAAGTGATTTTAAAAAATTAATAAATTTTAATATTTATCATAAAAAGGTTAAATTTTTTTTTTTTTTTTATAAAAAAGCAATTTGTAAAGTAGATAA